CAAGTTTGTTGTCCCTGAGATACCAACTATTGCTCGAGGCAAAGCCGAGAGCAATAGTTGGTATGCGAAGGGACTACAAACTTGCTATTACCCGCACAACCAGTCATTAGGTGTTTTATTATACTGAACAACACAGTCATTAAGTGTTTTTATATACCAAATTAACTAATTTTCTAAAAGTGTACATATATCATCTGAAAGAAAAGAAAAAATGTCACATAACTTGACATGCACAAGATGAACTATACGTTTTTTTTTTATAGTTCTTGTATTTGTAAATATTTTATTAATTGCAATCAAGACTAGAAATACTTGTGTTAAATTTTCCGTACATATGATAAATTTAAGCTTAAGTACACCAAACGCAAATTCGCTTTTAGAATACGACGACCGAACCCATATTATGAATAAGGTACTATATTTTAGATCTTTAAAAGATTTTCTCTCTTTTATAATTGCTTCTTGTAAGTGAAATTACAATCGACACAAACAGATTATACCGTTTACAATATTAGAGTTTGACGTTGCCAAGCAAAATAGTCAATGACATCATTATTGTCCAATGAAAAATAAGCATGAAAAAGTACGGGAAAGATGATTATGAAACTATTAACCGGGGTAATAGTCTTTGAAACTATTGACTGGCAGATAGTCTGTGGAATGAAATAGCACAACTATTTCATTATTTTTTATATAGAAAAAACATACTGAGGTATAATAATACATATTATTTAAACGTACTATGAAAACTTCTAGCAGCTGTATTACTTCTTATGAAACCTTAATTTGTTTCAAAGACTGGAAGACAGACGATTAGTGGCAAAATGAATATTAGAGAAATTAAAATTAGATATGACAAGAATTCAACAGAAGGAAAACCATCTTTACAATTAAAATTACTCGTGGTCTTGTGTATTGTCGAAACGAGGATGGTATCGAAAGTATGACAAGTAAATTGTTTCAGATAATGACTTAACTATAAAGATAAAATAACCTTATCACATGTCATGAATCAGTACATGTACCGAGGTCAACAAGGTCACACTTTTTAAGGACTAAAATTTACAGTATTGTTTCTCGTGTCTTATGTTACAACGAACACGGGCATTAATACAATTCAAGAAAAGCGCACAAACTGATCAGATTGAATGACATGGTGTTTAAACAGTGATACATCACTTTCTCTGATAGAATATTCTTTTGAAAAAAGCCTTTAAAATGCATATATGTGTAGGTAACGATAAATTACGTAAAGCATCGGCATTTCCAGTTCATAATCTCTGCATCAAAGGAAATATTACTTCAGGAATAAAAGACAAAAAGAAACTTCGGAATATATTTTCTTTTTTCATTTTCAGTGATTTGAGCAATAACATATTAAAAATATGAGGAACAAGTGTAAACCTTTAACATCTTTCTATAAGTATTTATGACACTTTTAAGGAGAATAGACAACTGCACCTTTATTGTAATACCCTGACTACTGCCTGTATACCCCATAGCACTGAATTAAAGAAATAATATAAAACGGGAGATGCGATTAATAAAAGAGGATTTAAGCAACTACAGGCCACCGAACGTCCTTCATCAATGAGCAAAGCTCATACCGTATATATTAGTCAGCTATAAAAGGCCCCGACATGAAAAAATGTTAAATAGTTTTAACGAAGAAAAAAAAAGGCCTGATTTATGAGCCGGTATGGCAAAAATAATTTTAGTTCACAAAAATGAATAAATAATACGAATACGAGGAAATACGAAAGTACTATTTTTATTGGTTCACATATAACGAGTCTTTACATGTTTATTTTCAATGTTTTTTTTTTATTTCTTAGTTGTGGTACAATTGTTGTAATTTTCTTAAGACGTTTTCAAAACTCATTTTTTTCTCAGGTTGACTTAGTTTATAACCTATAATCTTTAAGATGAATAAATACAAAAAGAATACATGAGATGTGATTATTCGGCCAGAAGCATACCACCACGCACCTAAATATACCGTGGCCACATTTTGATGCCTCGTATATACATAAGTTACTGCAATCACAGCAATACTTTATATATGATTTATTAAGAAATAAAGAGTACAATCCGGTCATTTTAATGCAAGGATTTCATTTAAGATGTCACAACGATCTCAAACTGTAAATATGTAAAAATTTACATATTTGTTCTCAAATCGATATTCGTTTATCAATTTTGATAAACTAAAACTTTTTTTTTTCAATTTTTCAAATTCAATGGATGAAAAAGGTATCTGTCTTACTTTGTTCTTTTTATTCCAATGGTTGTAGTTATGTATACCCCATCCCATTGAGAGGGACCTTTGCTACAATAACCTCGTCTGTTGTAGTTATGTATACCCAAACCCATTGAGTGGGACCTTTACTACAATAACTTCGTCTGTTCATCCCACAAAAAAGTAAAACAACAAAACTACCGAACTCCAAGGAAAATTCAAAACGGAAAGTCCCTTATCAAATGGCAAAATCAAAAGCTCAAACACATCAAACGAATGGAAAACAACTGTCATATTCCAGACTTGATACAGGCATTTCCTTATGTAGAAAATGGTGTATTAAACCTGGTTTTATAGCTAGCTAAACCTTTCACTTGTACGACAGTCTCATAAAATTCCATTATATTGACAACAATGTGTGAATAAAACAAACAAACGAATAGGTAAAAATGTCAAAAATAGGGGTACAGTAGTCAACATTGTGTTATAATCTTAATCACTATGAAAACAAACAAATATGTCAACAAAGAAACACAAAATGGCATATAGACAAAACACATATGCGAAAATGAAAGACAAGAATACAAAAAATGACCATAGCACAATACTAAGTAATACAATGGCGGGATGTATAAGTACCGAGCCACGCCAAAAAGATATCACCAAAAATGGACTAAACAGTAAAGGTGAATAATTTACAAAGACAAATAAAAGAACACTACAACACGTAATTAAGATGAAAAACAACGTCAGTACCTAAAATCTGTACTTCAATAAAATTGAGAATGGAAACGGGGAATGTGTCAAAGAGACAACAACTCGATCAAAGAGCAGGAAAAAACCGAAGGCTACCGATGGTTATTCAACACATCGAGAAAATGACGCACTCGGAGGCGGGCTTTAGCTGGCCCCTAAAAAAAATGTATACTGGTTCAGAGAAAACGGACGTCACACTAAACTCCGAAACACATTAATGAACCAAAATTTAAAAAAAAAAACACACACAAGACTAACAAAGGCCAGTGGTTCCTGACATGGGACAGGCGCAAAAATGCGACAGGGTTAAACATGTATTGTGAGATCTACACCCTCCCCCTATACCTCTAGCCAATGTAGAATAAACAAACACACAGCAATACGCACAGTAAAACTCAGTTTAAAAGAAGTCCGAGTCCGATGTCAGAATAGGGAACAGAAGAAACTAAGCAAAATGACAATGATCAATATAAATTAACAAAGGACTACTAGCAGTTACTGACCTCAATTAGACTGATGGAAAGATTATGTCTTCATCATATTAAAATCAAGCACAATCCATCCCGTTAGGGGTTAAGTATCATACCATCATAAAATATACGAGAAGAACATAACCCGTATCATGCCAACAACTGGTTTTAGAATAGATGTGTTTATTTCCGATGCAAAGACCCTATGAATGAATCAATATCAATTCCAAAAAATGCCATCTTTAATGAGCTGACAACAGTATCGTAACTATATCCCTTCTGAATAAGTCTGTTTAAAGGTTTGGTTTGATTTTGAGGTGAATGACATTTTTGTTCAGACCACCATGTATTATTTGTAAAGTTGATAAAGAATAGTCCTCTTATCTTCCGATGAACTTTATTAGGAAAAGGACGAGACGTTCTTTGACATAACCCTTGTTCACCCACTTTCTGCTCAGACACTGGCGACGTTTTATAAAGTCTGAGTAGCAGCTGCAAGCTCTTGAATACCGAATGAGTTGGGAAATGTATATCCCATATGCAGGTGAAGTTGGTATATTGCTACTAAGGTGGGGGAAATTTATAATTTCACAATTAATATCGTCTCGTTTGTCATAGATTCTGGTACCGAGATGACCGCTTTTGTCAAATTCGAGGTTTAAGTCTAAAAATGAGGCGGAGGAAACCGTGTCTCTTGCTTCTATAATTTCTAGTTCTGGAAGATATATTAATGGAACCCAATCATAAAAATTTGGATTGTTAATGGAAAGAAAATCATCAACATATCTGAATGTGATATTAAATGATCTGGCTTCTTTGATCTTCTTGTTTTTGACAAGTGTCTGAAGGAACTCCCGACTCATATGAAAATAAAAAGAGGTCTTCAAGGAGAGGCGCACAACTTTCATTATATTACTCATCTTCTGTATTAAGGAATGGTTTGATATTTGGTTTGAAAATTAATGAATTTGAGCTGTACATGTAAGAGGGTAGAAATGCCCTCTACCGTCAGGCGCCAAACGGTCATTTTCGGCTACCGTTAGCGCCAAATATTGGTTAAAATTTTACCGTGATTCGTCAAAATATCCTTATCGTGATTCGTCAGAGGTCTCAAATAATTATCGTTACCGTTAATTTTGGAAAAATTTAACGTGATTCGTCAAATTTATCGTCTAAAAGAAAGTGTACATTTTATCGTCATGCACCAAAATTTACCGTTAACGTCATTTGGCAAGAATTTTTACCGTTATTCGTCATGAAGGTACCCCCATTACGACCCTAGCTCATGCAAGGGATTTTAAGATCTGCCAGACAGTTGATACTCGTTAGGCGATTTTACGATCTGCCATTTTAATTTTTTAAATACAATAAAACCAGACATCATTTTCAATTTTGATAATCATATAAGTAATCACCCCATCTATACCCCCATAACGATTGACCATTTCTTTCGTAATCTACAACGACGAATGAATGTCCACGTTACTTTCACAAGGGAATTCAGTGAGTATTAATTTCCTTATCATGTATATAAATATATATGTTAGTTTGTGTTTTTTATCTTGTCAGTATAATTTGTGCGTGTGTTATTATGCTTTACACATCATCGGCGACTAGGACATCACACACCGTTGATCAGGTAAATAAAAGGGTAGGTAATCAAGAACGAGGACCTAGTATCTCGTGTGAAATGTGTATTTTTTTAATTGAAAGCATGTAAAGTACTGTGATAACATGACATTGCCTTTAATTTACGTATTTTATAGTATAGAGGTCATTTACGACACATGAATATTGCACATAAACCTGGAAAAGTGTATGTGTTTGTTTATGTCAAGTTTCATGGTATGAACTATTTTTCAACCAGTAGTTTTGATTTATTATTTATGAAAGAAATGTATATTTATAATCCTAGCGGTTGAAGGCATTGAACAAAACAAATCACAGGCACTTGTTTCTATCCATGGGAAGGTCGACTATCCATATTATGTGATACAAATATATACGTACACTAATTCTCATATTTTTCCGTCGCCTTAAAGAATGTGTCGATCGTAAATGTCTCTGTTTCTTAACTAAAAAGTTGACTTTGTCATGGATATATGACTTCGCATTTTTATTACATTTTAAAAGTATTTATGCTTCATGATCCATTTTGGGGGAATTTTAAGTCATACCAGAATACTTAAAATTCCTTTACCGTACAAATAGCACTTTCAGACATGATTTCATGTCGGAACAAAATCACTTCTATATCCAAATTAATTAAACGAACGGAACAAGATTTTAATTATTATAAACATTAAAACTTATAAAGAAATTACCGACTTCTACTATTGAAATGATATATCCATCACTAACATACAAGTTTTATCCTCGTTTGAGAGTTTGACAACATCCCACCATGTTTTGAATTTAATTGAAATGTAAAAAGTATAAAAATACGTTTAAGATTAAAATAAGTTTCACGAAGGAATTAGTTTTTAGATATGACAATTTACAATTTGTATGAAAGGTGTCTTAATGTTTATTTTTTACACTGTGATCTGACATCATAGGATTTAAATCTATAAATTATAAGTGAAATTGTGGTTGTAAGTTAGTCGGTTAACATTTATAATTCTTGTAAACTTGCCAAATGGAAAATTTTATTTTTGCTACGTGATTTTTGGCAAGTGCTATATGACCTCGAGTAGCAAAGCAGTAAACAGCAAATAGAATAAAGAGAAAAATAACAAAATAGCATAATAAGTAAAAAGAAAATAACAGAAAACAAACAAAAAACGACTATAAGTTGGTATCAGTAGACGCAGTTCTCAGATTTGCCGAACTACGAGATTCTGTTAAGATTTCAATTATTTGAACAGGAAAAAATCTTGAGAAGTACTGATATGGTGTTTCCATTTTTTGAGTGAATCATGCTTTTGATATGGCTCACTCTAAGAGTCTAAGAAATCTAACAAGAAATTTAACACAAAACATCAACTAAAGAAAATATATAAAACTAAAACGAAAGAGAAAAAAAACTTTTAAGGTTTTTGAAGAATAATAAATTAGAAGATTCCTCATATAGGATATAGTCAATGTGGTTAACCCAAGTTCACATGAACTTTAAATTTCAACGTTTCCTTTTGATATTGATCAAGTCGGTGCTTAAGCAACTGTTAAATTTCCCTTTCGTATTGTAAAAAAAACCATCATTTGCAATTAGAATGTGTTTTACATGAAAATTGCACATTGAATTCTGATATCAGTGCTCCATTAAAAGTCAAATTTCTGTGATAGTGTACTATGCAGATTTGTCTTATATTTAATCTGATATCTTTATTATTTCACTTAGAAAGATAGACGACAACGTGCAAGAAGTGATAAACTTGTTCGAACGACAAGAAGAGTAAAATAATTCTACAGAATAGTATAGAATATTTTTTATTAAATCCAATTTAAAGGGCCCGTTTCCGAGCATATACACATATATATATATACAAGTCTAAATTGAAAACAACGTTCAAACCTATGATTGCGTTGGAGAAAAACCGCAATTTTTATACGTGTGCATGCAAAACAAATTTCTTGGTAGAGGGGTCTAAATACAGCACAAACAACATTTTCCAAAAGACCAAATGAGTGAAAAAGTATATTTTAACAAACGCATTTGACTAGCAGGTCGAACAACTGATGTTCTTAAACCCTGCTGACTGCCATTGGCGATTGCCAAATAAACAGATCACAGGATGTAACAAAATAGATCTTATTATTAGTTTATTACCAAACAGAAAACAATAAACTTGCGGAAAAGATGGTATACCGCAAACATGAGGTGCAAAAATTTGTACACCATATCCGGATTTCGACAATTAATGTCTCTTCAGTGATGTTAGGAATCGAAACGGTATTTGGAAGGCCATACAATTTTCCTCAATTAAGGATAGACTCTTGAATTTTGAAAGAGTCAAAATAGGATGAACGGATCATATAGTATTAATTATACAATAAATTTTAAGATCTATTACATTGAAAATAAATGAATAAATAACTATCCTCTATACAAGATGGTGTTACTACATCACTACTACATGTGTATTTAGTCACTGGAATGCAATGTTTTTCTTATTTCAATACAAGTACTAATAAATCTTGACACTGATATATTAATATTTCCAGACTCACTGGACATTAACCAAATAAACTGTTCGTATTTTGAAATAAAAGGGAAGTTTTTACATTGAATATATGCTTCCTTAAGAATATGACGACAACAAGCGTTATGGAGGAACAGCAATCTAAAAAAATGAAATCAGACCTTCCGACAGATAGAGGATGGGCGTGGGTTATTATGTTTGGTAAGTAATTACATTAAATACAGTAGTACCTTAAAGTTGTTATGGAAATAAAGTAGGATAACGTTCGATATTCAATTCTCCAATTCTTAACTTTAGAATCTGAACCTCTGAAACACCAATTATAAAAAATAGATATGGTATGATTGCCGATGAGACAATTATCCAGACAAAAGGAGAAAGATGTCAACAATAACATGTAACCGTGCAGTCTACAACAAGAAACAAACCAATAATTTAAAGCAAGCTATAAAATATAATACCATGGGATATCAATATGTAAAACTATTCAGAAGAGAAAGTAAGCTATAAAAAATAATACCATGGGATATCAATATGTAAAACTATTCAGAAGAGAAAAAGCTATAAAATATAATACCATGGGATATCAATATGTAAAACTATTCAGACGAGAAAGTAAGCTATAAAATATAATACCATGGGATATCATTATGTAAAACTATTCAGAAGAGAAAGTAAGCTATAAAATATAATACAATTGGATGTCAATATGTAAAAATATTCAGAAGAGAAAGTAAGTTATAAAATATAATACGATGGGATATCAATATGTAAAACTATTCAGAAGAGAAAGTTAGCTATAAAATATAATACCATGGGATATCAATATGTAAAACTATTCAGAAGAGAAAGTAAGCTATAAAATATAATACCATGGATATCAATATGTAAAACTATTCAGGAGAGAAAGTAAGCTATAAAATATAATACCATGGGATATCAATATGTAAAACTATTCAGAAGAGAAAGTAAGCTATAAGATATGATACCATGGGATATCAATATGTAAAACTATTCAGAAGAGAAAGTAAGCTATAAAATATAATACCATGGGATATCAATATGTAAAACTATTCAGAAGAGAAAGTAAGCTATAAAATATAATACCATGGGATGTCAATATGTTAAACTATTCAGAAGAGAAAGTAAGCTATAAAATATAATACCATGGGATATCAATATGTAAAACTATTATACCATGGGATATCAATATGTAAAACTATTCAGAAGAGAAAACAAACGGACTGATTTATACTTCAACAATAAAAACAAGTATGACATAACAACGGTAACCACTGGATTGGAACAACGCCACAAAGAGTGTGGTGGCATATTTGTAAACTCCACCCCTGTAACCTTGGAAAAACAACGTAAGAAAAAACGAAATCAGACAGGACTTGGCACATCAGTCGGTACCGAAACCCTCCCCCCCAAAAAAAACAACAAAAGACACAAAGTACCGATCTTATAATACTCACAGTTAATGAAAAAGAGAGGCGAAAGACACAAAGTACCGATCATAGAATACTCACAGTTAATGAAAAAGAGAGGCGAAAGACACAAAGTACCGATCTTAGAATACTCACAGTTCATGAAAAAGAGAGACGAAAGACACAAAGTACCGATCTTATAATACTCACAGTTAATAAAAACAAGAGTGGCGAAAGACTCAAAGTACCGATCTTATAATACTCACAGTTCATGAAAAAGAGAGTGTTGTGACGCTACAAGCAAGTTTGTTCTTATGTTGTACTGTAACACTACTGTCCCAGGTTATGGGAGAGGGTTGAGGGCTCACAAACATGTTTAACCCCGCCACATTCTTTATGTGCCTGTCCCAAGTCAGGAGCTTGTAGTTCAGTGGTTGTCGTTGGTTCATGGCTGTCATATTTGTTTTTCGTAAATTGTTTTTTTTATGAATTAGGCCGTTAGTTTTCTCAATTGAATTGTTTCATATTTTTCATGTCGGGGCCTTTTATAGCCGACCATACGGTATGGGGTTTTCTCATTGTTGAAGGCCGTACGGTTGCCTATAATTGTTTACATCCACTTCATTTGAACTTTGGTGGATAGTTGTCTCATTGGCGATCATACCACGTCTCCTTATTTTTATAAACATTTATTTCCGATGCGCACCCTAAATCAGGGGTACTATTTTGTGACTACCTTTAATTTTAAGTTTGACACTTAGAACTTCATCATGAGTAGTATATTGTCATAGTGTTAAAAATAAAACAAGCCACATTTGCTTGCGTTTAGAGCATATTTCTTCTGACTGGCCTCTTTGAGGTAGGCGAACACCTTAAAGTTTAGAAAGATGTAAGTTAAAATTGTTTCTTAAGAATCAATCAACCACGCAAACAGTCAAAATGTTATGATACAAATTAAGAGCAAATCAAAGAAACTAAATGGATAAGTCAGCATAGCTTTTCATGTTCCATTGTCTTCGATTAACACACCAAACGGCTCCCATTTATAGTATTTATTTTGTTTTGATTGGTTAAACGTCATGCGACATGTTTCAGTTATAGTTTCATTGCCGTGAAGGACATTTCAAAAGCTAGTTTGTAGAATAACGAGATAAACTAAAAACATATATTAACCTGAAAAATACAATGAGATGGAAACAACTGCAATCTAAATACTAATAAAAGATAGACAAGAACCGTGTACGCAACCTTTTACAACGGGCACAAACTGATCCAAATAATATTATGAATTACGCATTAAATTAAAGTATTTTTTCAGCATGCTTTTGTGAACTATTTTTGATAGTTGGGACACTGAAGTGTTTTGGTTTGTTCTTTGTTGAGTATTTACGAGTTTACGATACCACTGCATCTATGGTATCCCTTGTTCTCTCGATACAGACGGCCATGTTTAGTTTTTTTGGTAAGATTACTACAGAAAATAACAAATATACATACCTCCTTATTGTAATCATTGTTTTACTTCCTTTATTAATCCTAAAAATAAAGGAAATTAACTATGCAGAAACAGAGCTATTAACATTTTGACTGAAGAACAGTAATAGTATTGGCGACATTTATGTAAAAATAAGATGTTGTATGATTGCCAATGAGATAGTTTAAACATATTTTATTGTCTAAATATACAATAGGATTGGATACAAGTTATAACAACTTAAGATAATCTTCTCCAAATAAGTACAATATACAAAATTTTAAGATTACAGCAATGAGATAACCCTCCACCATAGACCAAATGACGTAAAAGCTAACAACTATAGGTCACCGTACATGGTTTGTTTTAGATTGATCGCATGTATTTCTATATTTTTGAATATATGTTTACAGATTTATAATACAAAGAGATTCCACTCATTGTCAAAGATAAGACAAATAAACGATTAAAGTTATACAGACTAATGCTCTACTTGAACTGTTAAAATAGAACAAACGAAAACAAAAGAATAAGAAAAAAACAATACGAACTTTGCCTGAAGAGTTGGAACCTTAGTTATTTTTTAAAAATTCTGAACTTATTAACGGAAAATTAAGTTGCAAAAGTATGTTATAAATCATGTGAATAGTTGTTGATACAATTGGGGACTAACAGTATCGACCCAATGCTAGAACAAAAGAAAAGAAAATAACACTTTTTAAGTAAATTGCGTCAGAAGGGCTTTTCCGGATTTACCTTCATCAGAAACCCTCATATCCAAAAACACTGAAAGTCAAGGATGTATATATAAACATGTGAAGTCAAGGATGTATATATAAACACTGAAAGTCAAGGATGTATATAAAAACATGTGAAGTCAAGGATGTATATATAAACATGTGAAGTCAAGGTGGTATATATAAACACTGAAAGTCAAGGATGTATATATAAACATGTCAAGTCAAGGATGTATATATAAACATGTCAAGTCAAGGATGTATATATAAACATGTGAAGTCAAGGTGGTATATATAAACAATGAAAGTCAAGGATGTTTATATTATAGGATTAAACACATTTTTTTCTAGAGGTTATTGATGTGTAAACCGGGGCGATTAACTCACAAACTGAATAAAAGTCCGAAGGACTTTTATGTTAAGTTTGTGAGTAAGAGCCCCGGTTTACACATCAATAACCTCTAGAAAAAATGTGTTTAATCCTTATAATTCTTCAGTCAAACATTCGCGATTTTTAGTTAGGATTTTTTGTTTGATGGCTACTACCATCAAATGCACATGTCGTAACTAAGGATTTAGCCGCCATATTGAATTTCTAAAATCCGTAAATATTCGATAAATGCAACAGAATCTAAAATGAAATAGCACCTACCTCAAAAACTGCATTTTAATGAGATATTATCCGAATTTGAAGCGTACAAGTAACGAAATAATCTTTCGCTTGAAAGCTTTCATTTGTATGACGTCGTGTTTTGCCATGACGTAAATGCGCTAAATCATTCATGAAATTTCGCGGAATTTTTCATGAATTTTAATTTCATGCATTTTCAAAGCTTTAATGCAATATTTTTTTGGTTACATATGCATTAAAATAGAAAAAAAACTTATGTTTTTGTTTTTCAATCTCAATTTGCTGAAAATCCCGGACTCCCTGCATATGCATGTGTATCGCGCATGAATAGATGGTACGAAAGTAGTTTCGGAAACATGGTTTATCGAAGTGTAAACCAAGGTAAAAAATTCTAATTGACCAATCCGTTTCAAGTATTTATAGATATGCAAATCATATAAGAATTATAAACATGTGAAGTCAAGGATGTATATATAAACATGTGACGTCAAGGATGTATATATAAACATGTGAAGTCAAGGATGTATATATAAACATGTGACAAGGATGTATATATAAACATGTGAAGTCAAGGATGTATATATAAACATGTGAAGTCAAGGATGTATATATAAACATGTGAAGTCAAGGATGTATATATAAACATGTGACGTCAAGGATGTATATATAAACATGTGACGTCAAGGATGTATATATAAACATGTGAGTCAAGGATGTATATATAAACATGTGAAGTCAAGGATGTATATATAAACATGTGACGTCAAGGATGTATATATAAACATGTCAAGTCAAGGATGTATATATAAACATGTGACGTCAAGGATGTATATATAAACATGTGACGTCAATGATGTATATATAAACATGTGACATGGATGTATATATAAACATGTGAAGTCAAGGATGTATATATAAATATGTGAAGTCAAGGAGGTATATATAAACATGTGAAGTCAAGGATGTATATATAAACATGTGACGTCAAGGATGTATATATAAACATGTGAAGTCAAGGATGTATATATAAACATGTGAAGTCAAGGATGTATATATAAACATGTGAAGTCAAGGGTGTATATATAAACATGTGAAGTCAAGGATGTATATATATAAACACTGAAAGTCAAGGATGTATATATAAATATGTGAAGTCAAGGATGTATATATAAACACTGAAAGTCAAGGATGTATATATAAATATGTGAAGTCAAGGATGTATATATAAACATGTGAAGTGAAGGATGTATATATAAACACTGAAAGTCAAGGATGTATATATAAATATGTGAAGTCAAGGATGTATATATAGATATGTGAAGACAAGGATGTATATATAAACATGTGAAGTCAAGGATGTATATATAAACATGTGAAGTCAAGGATGTATATATAAACACTGAAAGTCAAGGATGTATATATAAATATGTGAAGTCAAGGATGTATATATAAACATGTGAACTCAAGGATGTATATATAAACACGTAAAGTCCTATATGATCAAAAGGGCATAAAAGAAAAACCAAATTCATTTACGGTCAACTTTGCCTATGTGAGTTTGAACCTTAGTTTTTTTATGCCCCCTCCGTAGCGGAAGGGGCATTAAGTTTTACCCTTGTCCGTCTGTACGTCCGTCCGTCCGTCCATCCATCTGTCCGTCCGTCCGTCCGTCCCAAAGTTGGTTTCCGTTCTGTAACTTTAGTTTGCCTCAACCAAATGTTATGAATGTCAAGGATGTATATATAAACATGTGAAGTCAAGGATGTATATATAAACATGTGACGTCAAGGATGTATATATAAACATGTGACGTCAAGGATGTATATATAAACATGTGAGTCAAGGATGTATATATAAACATGTGAAGTCAAGGATGTATATATAAACATGTGACGTCAAGGATGTATATATAAACATGTCAAGTCAAGGATGTATATATAAACATGTGACGTCAAGGATGTATATATAAACATGTGACGTCAATGATGTATATATAAACATGTGACATGGATGTATATATAAACATGTGAAGTCAAGGATGTATATATAAATATGTGAAGTCAAGGAGGTATATATAAACATGTGAAGTCAAGGATGTATATATAAACATGTGACGTCAAGGATGTATATATAAACATGTGAAGTCAAGGATGTATATATAAACATGTGAAGTCAAGGATGTATATATAAACATGTGAAGTCAAGGGTGTATATATAAACATGTGAAGTCAAGGATGTATATATATAAACACTGAAAGTCAAGGATGTATATATAAATATGTGAAGTCAAGGATGTATATATAAACACTGAAAGTCAAGGATGTATATATAAATATGTGAAGTCAAGGATGTATATATAAACATGTGAAGTGAAGGATGTATATATAAACACTGAAAGTCAAGGATGTATATATAAATATGTGAAGTCAAGGATGTATATATAGATATGTGAAGTCAAGGATGTATATATAAACATGTGAAGTCAAGGATGTATATATAAACATGTGAAGTCAAGGATGTATATATAAACACTGAAAGTCAAGGATGTATATATAAATATGTGAAGTCAAGGATGTATATATAAACATGTGAAGTCAAGGATGTATATATAAACACGTAAAGTCCTATATGATCAAAAGGGCATAAAAGAAAAACCAAATTCATTTACGGTCAACTTTGCCTATGTGAGTTTGAACCTTAGTTTTTTTATGCCCCCTCCGTAGCGGAAGGGGCATTAAGTTTTACCCTTGTCCGTCTGTACGTCCGTCCGTCCGTCCATCCATCTGTCCGTCCGTCCGTCCGTCCCAAAGTTGGTTTCCGTTCTGTAACTTTAGTTTGCCTCAACCAAATGTTATGAAACTTATACACAATGCTTATTACCATAAAATACAGATCAAGTTTGAAATTGGGTGGCGTCACTTCTACCGTTCTTGAGTTATGCCCCTTTCTAAACATAAAAATTGATGATTTTTTTCGTTTCCATTCTCTTACTTTAGTTTGCCTCAACCAAATGTTATGAAACTGATACAGAATGCTAATTTCCACATAATACAGATCAAGTTCGAAATTTGGTGGCGTCACTTATACCGTTCTTGAGTTATGCCTCTTTATGACCATAAAAAATGCTGAATTTTTAGTTTCCGTTCTCTAACTTTAGTTTGCCTCTACCAAATGTTATGAAACTTATACACAATTATTATTACCATAAAATACAGATCAAGTTTAAATTTTGGTGGTATCACTTTTACCGTTCTTGAGTTATTCCTATTTACAAATGGAAAATTTGCTGAATTTTTCGTTTCTGTTCTCTAACTTAAAGTAGCCACAACCAAATATTATGAGACTTATGCACAATACTTATTACCACAAAACTCAGATCAAGTACAAATTTGGGTAGCATCACTTTTACTTTTCTTCAGTTATGGCCCTTTATAACTTCATTATGATATGCAAGCGGGGGCATCATCTGTGTGTCATGGACACATTCCCCATTTATTTAAAGTAATTTCTCGTTTTATAAACGGAGAATTAAGTAACAAAAGTGTATTATAAATCATATCAGTACCGAAGCACCGACTTCTGAGCTGATTATTCCATCGGAGACAAACACTCCACTAGTAACAGTATTGACAGGGCTAGATAAATGGACATAACCCTTTATAAATAAACTCATCATATATAAATTTGTTACATACTAGAGCTTTTCTGGATACATCTTCATCAGGAACGTTCATTCAAAAACAATTAATTGAAAGCCAAGGATAAATAATTGATAACAACACTTTATAAATTTGTAGCATCCGAAGCGCTTTTCTGGATACCTTCATTAGAAATGCTCATACCCAGAAATTGAAATCCAATGGTGTATATGTACTACATAAACAAGCTAGCAACCTTTTGTTTGCTAAAAAACTCATAGGTGATAAAATGTACCATTTCTTATTTATTTCCAGATATTAGCAAGTTACCCTTGCCTTTTGTATTCTGCTAACATTAGTTAACGGTATATTTTTATCGTTTATTTAAACAGCATTTTTTATTTTAACTCTGGGAAACAAATACTTTAGTAGCAGACAGTTGATAATGGTTGGAGGGTTTGTTGCAGCTTTAGGATATTTGTTGAATGCATTCGCTCCGACAGTCACGTTCCTTATCTTCTCTCAGGGTATTTTACATGGTAAGTTGCTTTTCTTATTTCTCTCAGGGTATTCTACATGGTAAGTTGTTTTCTTATTTCTCTCAGGGTATTTTACATGGAAAGTTGTTTTTCTTATTTCTCCCAGGGTATTTTACACGGTAAGCTGTTTTTTTAAATTTCTCTCAGGGTATTTTACATGGTAAGTCGTTTTTTATACGACCGCAAAAATTTTTTTGTGGTCGTATATTGGTATGACGTTGGCGTCGCCGTCGTCGTCGTCGTCGTCGTCTGGTGTCGTCCGGCGTCGTCCGAAGACACATTGGTTTTCGCACTCTAACTTTAGTTTAAGTGAATGGATCTCTATGAAATTGTACCACAAGGTTCAATACCACAAAAGGAAGGTTGGGATTGATTTTGGGGGTTATGGTACCAACAGTAAAGGAATTAGGGGCCAAAAAGGGGCCAAAAATAAGCATTTTTGTAACTTCCAGACATAACTTGTGTGTTAGTGTATGGATCTCTCTGACATTGTACCACAAGGTTCCATATCACAAAAGGAATGCTGGGATTGATTTTGGGGGTAATTGCCTCAAAATTTTAGGAATTAGGGGCCAAAAAAGGGGCAAAAAACAAGCATTTTTCTAGTTTCATAACAATAACTTGTGTGTAAGTGTATGGATCTTTCTGAAATTGTACTACAAGGTTCCATATCACAAAGGGAAAGCTGGAATTGAGTTTGGGGGTAATTGCCGAAACATTTAGGAATTGGGGGCCAAAAAGGGGCCAAAAATAAGCATTTTTCTAGTTTCCAGACAATAACTTGTGTTCAAGTGTATGGATCTCTCTGAAATTGTACTGCAAGGTACCATACCACAAAGGGAAGGCTGGGATTGATGATGGGGGTAATTGCCTCAATATTTTAGGAATTAGGGGCCAAAAAGGGGCAAAAAACAAGCATTTTTCTAGTTTCAGGACAATAACTTGTGTGTAAGTGTATGGATCTTTCTGAAATTGTACTACAAGGTTCCATATCACAAAGGGAAAGCTGGGTTTGAGTTTGGGGGTAATTGCCCTAAACGTTTAGGAATTTGGGGCCAAAAAGGGGCCTAAAAACACATTTTTCTAGTTTCCAGACAATTACTTGTGTTCAAGTGTATGGATCTCTCTGAAATTGTACTGCAAGGTACCATACCACAAAGGGAAGGCTGGGATTGAGTTTGGGGGTGATGAATCATAAGGGGGTTCAAAAAATTTGGGGGGGGGGATTTTTTTTTTTTTCCTTTTATTTTTCTTTTGAAATTTTCCATTTTAAGTTGGTTATTTCTGATTTATATTTAAAAGCAAATAATAATGATATGGTAGGAGATACACACCAAACAGGATGTGTAAATTATTATATAATAAGTATTGTGCAATAGCAAGAAATTTTCAATTGCGCAGTATTGCACAATAGCAAGAAATCTTCAATTACACAGTATTGCGCAATAGCAAGAAATCTTCAATTGCACAGTATTGCGCAATAGCAAGAAATATCCAATAGCACAATATTGCCCAATAGCAAGAAATTGTCAATTGTACAGTATTGCGCAATAGCAAGAAATATTTAATTGCACAGTATTGTGCAAAAGAAGATACTTCGTATAAATTGCTTATTTCTTGACCAATTTCAATGGGGTTTTATTCTTGAATTCTTGGGTTTCTTTAATATGCTGAATCTAACCGTGTATTTAGTTTTTGGATTTTGGGCCCCGTTTTTAAATTGGTCCACATTGAGGTCCATAGGGTCCAAAATTAAACTTTGTTTGATTTCATCAAAAATTGAATTATTGGGGTTCTTTGATATGCCGAATCTAACCATGTATTTAGATTCTTAATTTTTGGTTCCGTTTTCAAATTGGTCTACATTAAGGTCCAAAGGGTCCAAAATTAAACTTAGTTTGATTTTAACAAAAATTGAATTCTTAGGGTTCTTTGATATGCTGAATCTAAACATGTATTTAGATTTTTGATTATGGGCCCAGTTTTCAAGTTGGTCCAAATCGGGGTCCAAAATTAAACTTTGTTTGATTTCAACAAAAATTGAATATATGGGGTTCTTTGATATGCTGAATCTAACCATGTATTTAGATTTTTGATTTTTGGGCCGCGTTATCAACTTTGTCCACATTGAGGTCAAAAGGGTCCAAAATTAAACTTTGTTTGATTTCATCAAAAATTGAATTCTTGGGGTCCTTTGATATGCTGAATCTAACCATGTATTTAGATTTTGGATATTGGACCATAATAGGTGCATGTCCAATTTAAAATTTTTAAGTTCTTAGACCACATTCATTCTGTGTCAGAAACCTATGCTGTGTCAAATATTTAATCACAATCCAAATGCAAAGCTGTATCAAGCTTGAATGTTGTGTCCATACTTGCCCCAACTGTTCAGGGTTCGACCTCTGCGGTCGTATCAAGCTGCGCCCTGCGGAGCATTTTATTCTTATTTCTCTCAGGGTATTCTACATGGTAAGTTGTTTTTTATTATTTCTCTCAGGTATTTTACATGGTAAGTTGTTTTTCTTATTTCTCTCAGGGTATTCTACATGGTAAGTTGTTTTTCTTATTTCTCTTAGGGTATTTTACATGGTAAGTTGTTTTCTTATTTCTCTCAGGATATTCTACATGGTAAGTTGTTTTTGTTATTTTCTCTCAGGATATTCTACATGGTAAGTTGTTTTTCTTATTTCTCTCATGGTATTTTACATGGTAATTTGTTTTTCTTATTTCTCTCAGTGTATTTTACATGGTAAGTTGATTTCTTATTTCTCTCAGGTTATTTTACATGGTTAATCGTTTTTCTTATTTCCTCTCAGGGTATTACACATGGTAAGTTGTTTTTGTTATTTTTCTCATGATATTCTACATGGTAAGTTGTTTTTGTTATTTTGTCTCAGGATATTCTACATGGTTAGTTGTTTTTCTTATTTCTCTCAGAGTATTCTACATGGTAAGTAGTTTTCTTATTTCTCTCATGGTATTTTACATGGTAAGTAGTTTTCTTATTTTTCTCAGAGTATTTTACATGGTATGAAGTTTTCTTATTTCTCTCAGGGTATTTTACATGGTAAGTTGTTTTTTCTTATTTCTCTCAGGATATTCTACATGATAAGTAGTTTTTTGTTATTTTCTCTCATGTTATTTTACATGGTTAGTCGTTTTTCTAATTTTCTCTCGTGGTACTTTACATGCTTAGTCGTGTCTTATTTTTCTCAGGGTATTCTACATTGTTGTTTTCTTATTTCTCTCAGGGTATTTTACATGGTAAGATGTTTACTTATTTCTCTCAGGGTATTCTACATGGTTGTTTTCTTATTTCTCTCAGGGTATTTTACATGGTAAGTTGTTTTCTTATTTCTCTCAAGGTATTTTACATGGTAAGTTGTTTTCCTTTTTAGTCCCCTACCGACGAAGTCGAAGGGGACTTGAGGTTTGCACTCTGTCTGTCCGTCTGTCCATCCGTCAGTCCGGCAACTCAGCTTTCCACACTTTTTTTCTTCGTTCTTAAAGATATTGATTTGATATTTGGTATATAGTTTTATCATGACAAGTTATAGATCAAGTTCGAATTTTGTTCCGGTCTGATGATTAAGTCCAGAGTTATGGTCCATAAAAAAAACTCCATAACTAATGTAAGAGTACTATGTTAAACCATATATCTGTACAAAGGGAGATAACTCATTTTTTAAAGACATTCTATGGTAAATTGAGGAATTTTGTGGCAGGTTTATATGTTATTTTGTATAAGCTAATTTTCTGAATGCTACATGTATATATATATATATATAAAATTATATATATATATATATATTTTATTAAGTGAAATCCTTTAATTAGATAATAATCTATTTTTATTAAGGTATATATTTCATTACATTACATTGTGTAGATAAAAGTTGTTGACATTTTATAGATAAGTTAAAAATTTATATTAGTTTGTGACAAATGAAAGAAAAAATAATTGGAACTATTAATTATATTTGATTGTAATTTCAAAATAGATATACATTGTATTACATCATATCTAATTTTAGAGAACTATTAATCATAACTAATGTTAGAGTGTTATAGGTTTTCCACACTTTTTTTCATCATGCTTGAAGATATTGATTGACAAGTATATAGTTTTATCATGACAAGTTACAGATCAAGTTCAAATTTTTGTTTCGGTCTGATAATTTTGTGCAGAGTTATGGTCCTTGGACTTGAAAAAAATTCACTCATATATTCAGTTTTCCACACTGTTTTTAGTCATGCTTGAAGATATTGACTTGATATTTTCTTTTTGTTTACACCATGACAAGTTATAGAACAAGTTAGCATTTTGTTCCAGTATAATGAATTTTTACCCGGTAGGGGACTATGTATTGCCATGCAATACTCACAGAATGCTTGTTCTCTCAGGTTATTATACATGGTAAGTTGTTTTTCTTATTTCTCTCAGGATATTCTACATGGTAAGTTGTTTTTGTTATTTTCTCTCATGGTATTAGGGGCAAAAAAGGGGCCAAAAACAAGCATTTTTCTAGTTTCCAGACAATAACTTGTGTTTAAGTGTATGGATCTCTCTGAAATTGTACTACAAGGTTCCATACCACAAAGGGAAGGCTGGGATTGAGTTTGGGGGTATTTGCCCCAACGTTTAGAAATAAGGGGCAAAAAAGGAGCCAAAAACAAGCATTTTTCTAGTTTCCAGACAATAACTTGTGTTAAAGTTTATGGAACTCTCTGGAATTGTACATTTTTCCTGGAAAGAAAATAATCTTCAAAATTTCAAAAATAACTGTGGGGGGGGGGAGGCATTCAAATAGTTTTGGGTTTTTTTTTCAATTTTTTTTTTTGGGGGGGGGGGGGGGGTCATACCTTTTTTCTTCAAGATTTTTCAAAATAGCACAGTATTGCGCAATAGCAAGAAATTTTCAATTGAAAATAAATACAAATCTTTTAACCAATTTCAAGGGAATTATATTAAGTCTTTAATTTTGGGGGTTTCTAACCTTGTATTACTATTTGGGATATTTGGCCCCATTTTTAAATTGGTCTACATTGAGGTCCAAAGGGTCCAAAATTAAACTTTGTTTGATTTCATCAAAAACTGCATTATTGCGGCTCTATGATATGCTGAATCTTATTGTGCATTTAGATTTTTTTTTAATTTGGGCCCTGTTTTCAAATTAATCCATATTAAGGTTTGAAGGGTACAAAATTAAACTTTGTTAGATATTTTCAACTAAAATTAAATTTTAAGCTCACCTGGTCCAAAGGGCCAAGTGAGCTTTTCTCATCACTTGGCGTCCGTCGTCCGTTAACTTTTACAAAAATCTTCTCCTCTAAAACTACTGGACCAAATTTAACCAAACTTGGCCACAATCATCACTAGGGTATCTAGTTTAAAAAAATGTGTCCTATGACCCCGCCTGCCAACCAAGATGGCCGACATGGCTAAAAATAGAACATAGGGGTAAAATGCAGTTTTTGGCTTATATCTCTGAAACTAAAGCATTTAGAGCAAATCTGACAAGGGTGAAAATGTTAAACAGATTAAGATCTATCTGCCCTGAAATTTTCAGATGAATCAGACAACCCGTTGTTGGGTTGCTGCCCCTGAATTAGTAATTTTAAGGAAATTTTGCAGTTTTTTGTTATTATCTTGAATATTATTATAGATAGAGATAAACTGTAAACAACAATAATGTTCAGCAAAGTAAGATCTACAAATAAGTCAACATACGGAGTTATTGCCCTTTAAAGTCAAATTTAACAATTATTCGTAATTTTTTGTAATCTTTTACAAAAATCTTCTCTAATGAAACAACTGAGACAAATTTAACCAAACTTGACCACAATCATCACTAGGGTATCTAGTTTAAAAAAATGTGTCCGATGACCCTGCCTGCCAACCAACATGTCAGACATGGCTAAAAATAGAACTTAGGGGGAAAATGCAGTTTTTTACTTAAGTCTCTGAAAATAAAGCAAATGTATAACGGTTGCATTATTTCATGCATCAATTGTAAATAAAAATATCAGGTGAGCGACACAGGCTCCTTGGAGCCTCTAGTTTGTGTTTTTTTACATGCTGAATCTAACCATGTTGTTTGATTTTGGATATCAGACCATACTAGGTAAATTAAATGTCCCATTTCAAATTTTTAAGATCTTTGACCACATTTATCTTGTGTCAGAAACCTATATTTTGTAAAACAAAATTGATCACAATCCAAATTCAGACAGCATCAATCTTGAATATTGTGTCCAAATTTGCCCCAACTGTTCAGGGTTCGACCTCTGCGGTCGTATCAGGCTGCGCTCGGCGAAGCATTTTATTGTTATTTTCTCTCAGGTTATTTTACATAGTTAGTCGGATTTCTTATTTTCTCTCAGGGTATTTTACATGGTAAGTCTTTTCTTAGGCTGACGTGAGATCAACGTAAAACGTGATATATGGACGTGATATAAAACAGCGGTATAGGTATTATTGAATAGAATGTATTACCTTTATAAGCAGAAACATGTGTTTAATAGATTAAAAAAATAAAGTAATGTCAGTATGACAGCCATCCATAGATCTAGAAATTTGACTAAGTCGTTTTACATGTAGCAATGTCGAGAATAGCACCGGTTCTAGACACGTGGAGATTTGTCTCAGTGGCAATCATACCAAATCTTCTTATTTTTGTATTTTATTTTATACGTAGTGAATACATTTAACACAAACTAATCCTGGCATTTTGGTCTATGACGGGTGCGTGTATATAATCGTTATGGTGTAGCCTGATGATCTGAAGTGACGAAATGTGCCCTGTTAGCAATGACTGCCATTGTATTATTGTTGTCTTCTGTAGACTGACTTTTATATCATCCTTAAGCAGGATTGCAGCCTTTGTCTTTTTTGACACAGAGATTTGAAAAAAATGTTGGTATCATTACTTGTGGTAATTTCAGCTTTCTTAATTTTTTTGGTTCTCGAAATGCGACAACTTTGGTAGGATGGAAATTGTTTTGATATTTATGAAGTTTATCAATATACTTCTTGTGTGTACTTTTCCTGATATCGATGATGTTGTTTAGCGACGTTAAGTTGGGACGTTGTGAATAATATTTGTGTGTGTTACCATTTGTAGATGGTATTATAGGGTAATTTGAAATAAATATATTAAATATATGGTCACAAACTTCTTGTTCCTTAATTTGACAACGACCTTCTTGTCATATACCGTTAATGTACATTCGTCATACTGGAGTACTGAATTAATGTCATCAATTCGAAAAAATCATCAGATGAAGTTATTGATAAGTATATTTTGTATTAAGAATTTTTTGCTATTTGACTTTTTACCCTGGTAGACTATTGCAATACATACGATTGGTTTGATATATCGTATTTAAAAGTAACGTTACATTGTTAGACATCTGCCATATTACATTTGTATACATCTTTGAATGAATCTTCTTTCAGCTTCTGGATGTGCCGCATCATATGGACCAGCAATAGTGCTACTTAGCACATATTTCGATAGGAGGAAGGGACTAGCTAACAGTTTAGCTAATGCTGGAGGCAGTATTGGTGGTCTCTTTATCCCTTTATTGATAAGACATTTGCTCGATAATTATGGCCTCCAAGGTGCTTTGATGATTATGTCGGGAATGTTGTTCCACATAACTGCAGTAGGGGCTTTAATGAGACCTTTCCCCGTGAAAACCGATACCAAAATCCACGAAAAAGAAATTGAAATTGTTTTGCTCCAAGAAGAAGATACTTCTAAAACAGCAAATGGATCATCGAAAGCATATGGAACATCCGCCAATGAAATAGTAGAACACGAATCTTCTAAAATGTTTGTGCAGCTAGAACCACAGGTAAGCGTCCAATCAGAGCGCTCACTTGGAAGTCACCACTCTATAGTTTTAGATAAACTGTCCGGAAGTACATTAAATTTATACGGAAGTATGGGAAATATAGCTAATGCAATCCCTGTTGTCAGCTTTGTAAAGTCAATACCATCTGTCCATAGTAGCATTTCTGAAGTCGACAAAACAAAATGTTCTTGTTGTTCAAATTTATTTAACTGTAGCATTTTAAGAAATCACAGTTTTCAACTTCTAATGGTGACCGGCTTTCTATGCGTTTTTGGAAGTGCATTAACAATTACTTTCATCCCACCATTTGCCAAAGACTATAATATTCCAGATGACAAAATTGCACTGTTAGTGACAATATCAGCCGTATGTGACTGTATAGGTAGATTTTCCGTCGCATGGATAGCAGATTCAGGATTCCTAAGACGGAACCATCTTGTTGGTGTATGTATATTTATAAGTGGCCTCGCTGCCATGCTAAACTTATTTTATACAGATTTTCCTAGTTTTGCAGCTTATGCTGCTACCTATGGACTAGTCGGAGGAGTTTATTTTTCCTTGTATCCTCTACTAATAGTGGACGCTGTTGGACAAGAAAATCTGTCAGACGGACTAGCCATACTGTTCCAAGTTCATGGTTTTAGTTTAATGGTGAATACTTTTCTCATAGGTAAGTCAGAAGTGTTGGCATTTATTTTATTAATAAAACAAAATAGGACCATTTCTTTAAAGCGATAATTATTATTTTGTTTTTCTTCTGACGCTACACAAAATGGCGCTTTATGTACCGAGAAAACCTTTCCTAAATTCTTCCATAGATACAAAGATTTGGTTTGGAAGTTTGGCTATACCTGTAGAAAACGTATTTCAAACGGGATAGCACATCCTAATTTTTACGGTGATATTGTTTGCCAAGCCCATAAATTTAGATACGATCCGGGTAAAATTATCGACCCTTTAATTTAATTATTCTAAACGATTACCAATTCAACATTGTAATTTGATCTTTGAATATTGTTGTATTGGTATAAATATTGATTTTGTTATCAGCAAATTAAAACCAAACTAAATATTATTGTTATATACATATGCACATTCACGGTTCTACAACCTGTCGATACCTGTGTCTTGGCATTGCAAAAGGGTCTTGCAAAAGGTCATGTTTTTCTCTGACTGTTAATGACGCCTTTACACTAAATCCATTGGATGTTGGACTTGTACTGATTGATATGTATGTCTTAGATAGATTTTTTTTTTAGTTGTTATTGGCTTTGAACTAGCTGTCAGTGACTGCGAGTACTCTGAAATCTGTGTTGAAGACCCATTGGGGGCATTCGGCTGTTTTTGCTCTTTGGTCGGGTTGTTGTCTCTTTGACACATTCCCCAATTCCATTCTCAATTTTATTAGTGTGTTTTTTTGTTGTGGTAATGTATAAATACCCTGCCACATCTGGTCTTTGTTTTTGTTTTGTTGGATGTTTTTCTGCTTTGTATCTATCTGATGAATTAAGCTCTTTTCAACTGATATTTATAGTTTGTTCTTATGTTGTACTGTTACATCACTGTCCCAGGCTAGGGGGATGGTTTGGCGTCAGCAAACTAGTTTAACCCGCCACATTCTTTAGGGGCCTGTCCCAGTCAGGAGTCTGTACTGTGTATATCATTTTTGTTTTTCGTTCATTATGTTGTACATAAATCAGGCCGTTAGTTTTCTCGTTTGAATTGTTTTACATTTGTCATTTCGGGGCTTTTTATAGCTGACTATGCGGTATGGGTTTTTCTCATTGTTGAAGGCCGTACGGTGACCTTTAGTTGTAACCTTCTATGTCATTTGGTCTGGGGTGGAGAGTTGTCTCATTGGCAATCATACCACATCTTCTGATTTTCATAAACTATAAAATCAGGCGAAGATTTGGCCATTAACAGGAAAGTTATTTAATCCGTCAATTCTTCGCGCGTTGTTAAGAAGATCTGGTATGATTTCCAATGAGACAACTATTATTACAGTTTCATTGAGCAGCTGTAGGTCATCGACCGGCCTTCAACAAGGAGAAAAACCACACCGTATAGACATGATAGTCAGCTATAAAAGGCCTCGACATGACGATATGTGAAACAATTGATACGAAATAACCAACAGACTGATTTATATAAAACAATAAACAAGAACAAATATGACATAAATAAACCAACTAGATCAAGGTTTGATAACACAATTTATATTATATTCTCTTAGCTAATATAGCTTCGGGATAATAACGACAAACTTTAATAAATTTTCTGATAGTGAATTGTAAAATACATCAACAACATATATATTCAGACAACCTTGAAGCACATCTTGCGCTTTAAATATTTGGTATATAACTTGATATCGTATGATCCGAACAAATAATTCTTGTTTGCCTCTATTTGATACACATTTATATTAGAAAAAAATAATGTGCCTTGGATGTGTGCAAATATTTGTATAACATGTTTTGTAAAGCAAAGTCACATTCTATATCGAACGCTACCAAAAAGTGTGTGTGTGATATCTGCTAGTAGTACATGCAGCGCTTCAAATTTTAACAGTTACTCTCAGGTTTGAAGTATTTTCATACGTGATAAAGCTTAATCAGATTATACTGGTGAATATGTCCCCTAGTCTAATATTAATTGCACAGCCAGGCATGCTACTACTCCAGACAATATACACCAATGTTCGCTGAATAACCTTACAATATTTAAACGTAAAGAACATTCAATCCAAATAGATGTGATAATTTATACCAATTCAAGTTTTGTTTTTCATTGCAGGATATATAAGAGATATGACAGGCTCTTATCATGGTTCATTTTTCTTACTAGGAACAGGATTACTTATTGGAACTGTTTGCTTATTTTGTGAACCTATTGCCAGAAAACTAGAAGAAAAACGGACTAAAACTAAATTGACGGGGTAATAATTGAAAATAAAATTCCCGTTATAGAAATTGAGAGTTTGGTTTTGAAACTCAATATTTGTAAATAAAAATAGAATTACAATATTGATACTACGAGGACCCCCCTCCCACAAAATATAACAAGACAGATAAGGGACAACAGATCTTACAAGTTAATTTCAAGATAAAATCCCAATGAAATGTCATGATGTCTAAACGGAGAGCATTAGCGTGACAATGTGTCCGCGATAAGAGTGTATGCATATTTTTTTATGCATATTTCAGGCGCTATTCGAATTTAGGTACCGTCATAATGTCCAAAAAATCAGTATATTTACAGATCTAATAGTCGATTTCGGTCGTTCTGCCTCATTACAATTGCGTACCCTGTTTAAGAAGTCCGTAACAGTATTCTTACTTTCAAGTTCACTGGGGTATATGAGATGGAAGCTCTCGCTGAAATATGGGATATTTAGTAACATGACATCATTATCTACATGAACGCCTTATTAATTGGACAAGATATGATGCTTATTCTCTTTGTTTTTTAGATGTTTTGTGCACATTTTGCTTTATATGAATACACAAAACAAGTCGGTTTGTAAAAGAAAAAAAAAACCAGAGTTTGTTTGTTTATAGTACTTGTACTTTGTCTTCAGAACGAAACATAAATGTGTGTATTTTAGCATTTTCTGAGACGGGAACATTTTAGTATGATTTTACCTATTTTTACATAACAAATGAACAGCAGTTGTTTTAGGATAACAAGCAAGACTTATAGTATAGACAATATATTCATTTCATAAATTAGTCTTACTTATACAACACATAACCGTACCGATAGTTGTTAAAGTAGACGATAGTACTCAATAATACACTTTGATGGCACAGTTTGAGTTCATTAATTGAAAAATAAAAAGAACACTTTCCAAAGTGCTTTTCTGGACTTACATCCAGCAGGAACACTCAAAGCCGAAAATTTGAAAGCCGAGGATGTATAAGTACCGAAACACGTTGCTTGATATATAACCAAAAAGGAATTTAAATTAATAGCCAAATTCATCTAAGGTCAACTTTTCCGGAGGGAGTTGTAACCTTACTTTTATAATAATTTCTAAATTTTTCAACAGAGAATTAAAGAAAGGTATGTTATAAATCATGTCCGTACCGAAGCACTGCCTGCTGAACTGAGCGGTTGTCCGTACCGAAGCACTGCCTGCTGAACTGAGTGGTTGTCCGTACCGAAGCACTGCCTGCTGAACTGAGTGGTTGTCCGTACCGAAGCACTGCCTGTTGAACTGAGCGGTTGTCCGTACCGAAGCACTGCCTGCTGAACTGAGCGGTTGTCCGTACCGAAGCACTGCCTGCTGAACTGAGCGGTTGTCCGTACCGAAGCACTGCCTGCTGAACTGAGTGGTTGTCCGTACCGAAGCACTGCCTGCTGAACTGAGTGGTTGTCCGTACCGAAGCACTGCCTGCTGAACTGAGCGGTTGTCCGTACCGAAGCACTGCCTGCTGAACTGAGCGGTTGTCCGTACCGAAGCACTGCCTGCTGAACTGAGCGGTTGTCCGTACCGAAGCACTGCCTGTTGAACTGAGGGGTTGTCCGTACCGAAGCACTGCCTGCTGAACTGAGGGGTTGTCCGTACCGAAGCACTGCCTGCTGAACTGAGGGGTTGTCCGTACCGAAGCACTGCCTGCTGAACTGAGCGGTTGTCCGTACCGAAGCACTGCCTGCTGAACTGAGCGGTTGTCCGTACCGAAGCACTGCCTGCTGAACTGAGCGGTTGTCCGTACCGAAGCACTGCCTGCTGAACTGAGCGGTTGTCCGTACCGAAGCACTGCCTGCTGAACTGAGCGGTTGTCCGTACCGAAGCACTGCCTGCTGAACTGAGCGGTTATGACCCAGTGCTAGAAGATAAAAAGAAACACAGTTTTTGGATTTATCTTCACCGGGAACGTTTAAAGCCAAATACATGAAAGCCAATAATATATAAGTACTGAAACACATGAAGAGCTATTAAGGCCAAAAGGGACACTGAATAATAGCCTAGTCATGTTTGCCTAAAGACGTTGGAACCTTTGTTTCATTATAATTGTACTTATTTAACTGATTTTACATTCAACCCTAGTCTACCAAATAGGTCCTTTTAGATTTAATAGTTTAAATACCGCTTGCATATGGAGTATATATCTCCCAGTTGATACAAAATGCAAGAGCTTGCGTTCCCTATCATGATTTCCTTGGTAGAGGGTTGCTGTTAAGTTTACAAGGAAGGTGTAACCAAGGGATCCAAGTAGTAAAGAAATGGTCACCCCTTCGAAAACTTTACGGACGCCATCGCGAGTTGGTTGACTGCTATGGAAGATTTGTTTCACAGATGACGACGGATATGTTCCAATTGTCGTAACCACTATTCCGTCTTTTTTTCAATGTGACATCACCGAATGAGACTATCAACTAATTTGTACTTACATGAGCAACACGTGTGGTACAGTACCACATTTGTCGTAGGATCTGCTTACCCTTCAGGAGCACTTGAGAATGACCCATGTTTTGGTAGCGTTCGTGTTGGTCAGTCTGAAGTTTTTTATTTACAGTTTTTAGGCTGTTTTTTGGTCGTTTTACTTTTTTGTCATCGACTTATGAGTTTGAATATCCCTTTGATATCTTCCGCTTCCCTAAGGTTTGAGTAATCATAAAATATTATTCTGAGTTAATTATAGCTGTTGTTATAAGTCTTATTATATCAAACCCTATAAAATGTCCAATATCAACTTCTTAACAGAATTTAGTCGATAAAAATCATTTGTCCGGCAAAATCACCATAGTTATGTTTTTTAGAAATATATTCAGAAATGTTTACAAGTTTATAGATATATAGATTTGTAACTATTTATGAGGAATGTTTAGTTGTTTAAACTTTGATAATTAATGTATAAAGTTTTATACTGCTAGTGTCTCATAGGTCCGATTTTTATGGCTGGATACTGTTTGATTTGTTTCATTCAATATGTGTTTAACAATTTTACTTTTTTGTTTACCAGAACATTATTGTCTTTCATTAACTTTTCTGTTACTATTTAAGGCTTTGGTTTTTGTTGATATAAGGGTAAAGTGAGGTTACTTCATAGTATTTGTTTCATTCACCCAATTAAGATTCATGATGATATAAATCTGGCATTCAGAACTTATTAACGGTGTTAATGGTGTGCTGTGTGTAGTATTTTGGACATCCATGATATTCGTGCGTGTTGAATATGTAATGTACCCTTTTTGACAGTGATACATTTTTAATTCATTGTAAGGCTTCTCCTTGTGCTGATATGGATCAAATAGTGTTAGCACGAAGAAATTTAGTGCGAAAAACTAAATTATACACAGAGGCTATAGAAATACAACTTTCAAACGGATCAATACCTTTATATTCAGCAGTTGACATGGTCATAGACTTTTAACAACATCGTCTAGGAATATCTTATCTGATTGGCAGTATTTAAAAAAAGTTCTACGTGGAAATTAAGGATGGGGATCACGTTACTAGTATCATACCATCTAAGATCAGTTTTTCTCTTTTCCGATTTCATTCCTCGGGGTTAAAGAACTTGAGATCTGTCATTCACAGGGGTTTTAGAACTTGAGTTCCGGATTATGATTTATCAAACTGGTTTTGGTATTCTTTTCTGTTAGGGAGCTACCATTTGATTTTAATGGGGGGCTAGGATGAAAAATTTTGTCCTGCTTTTTTTTAGCTGTAATCTCTGTCCTGCCTTTTTATTTTTCACTCTATTCGGTCCTGACTTTTTATTTTTAGTTTATCCTGACTTTTTTTACCTAAATTGTCGTCCTGACTTTTTTTCGTTGCAAATGACTCATCCTGCCTTTTTTCTTTTTTTTTACTCAAAACTCCTGTCTTGCCTATTTTTTTCAAATTTCATCCTAGCCCCCCCCCATAAAAATCAAATGGTAGCTCCCTTATACAGATGTGGATATGATATGACTTTACAGGGAAAACGGTAGTATTTATTCTTCCATAGGCGACAATACTAACATTTCCTAAAATTAACACTTTTTATAATAAAAACCTGGACAAAACAGTTATGTGTGGTATTAGTACTTTATTATTGTATATAATAGTATATGTATGGACGATATTTATCTAAACGCACGCAAGAACACCTGTATCGTTTTAAAAGACCCAATAAATTCAAAAGTATCATTTATCAACATCTTAAAAAGCACAATCATCCTATTAAATATTTAACAGTTCAACCTTTAGAAGTAGTAAATAAGCAGCCTGGTGAATCTCATTCAAAGTTTGTACGATCGCGGAAAATAATTGAATTAAATTGGATTAAAAAATTACAGACAGTCTACCCTCTCGGTCTTAATGATAATATCATGGGAATTGGTAATATATCAAGAACCGATTCTGTTAACATTTTGGATATAGTTTCTAAAACTGTTCGTAAAAACCGTTCTCATGGGCGTAGAAAAAATCGCAATCAAAGAAAATTTCGGACCAACCATACAAATATTTCGGACCTAATTTCTATTTCAAAAAACAACGGCAGACATTATCTATTAACCAAGCTCTGTTCTTTACCTATAAATAAATTAAATAAAATTTTGGAGGATTGCAACACAATTTCATATTGCAGTCCTAAGTATGAAATCGTTCAAATTATAATGGCATATTGTTATTCTAAACTGTTTCCCAAAATTGATCACCCTGAAGATCATAAAAAACATTTTATTAAAATAAAGTATGTCAATAAAGGTTTTGATTTTGTAAATATTGCCGGTATTTTTAACGACCATTCTGTTAAAGAAAAAATTCCTGGATATTTTGATAATACTGAACTCCCTCTTATTTGTTTTATTTACAAGAAATCTACCCGAAAATTTGTGTTTGATTATAGCCAAGTCTGTAAAGATGTAAATATCAGTGAAAATACACCTCCGTCATGTAATTGTAGTAATTCCGAATACACTTATGGCCCCATTTCCCATGTTATAACAGGAGACCTTAACATCGTTCGCGACCGAGAGTTAAAATCATTCCTCAGTAAAGGACCTAAATATCGTCCCCCGTCAATTATTAATTGGAATGAGTGTCGTAATATCATCCACGACTCACTTCGTGCTTACTGTTTGAAATGGATAAAACGGGAAAAAGCTGACAAAAAATCTTTGGACTCTTTTTTTAATTCAGTAATGAAGATAGTTGATATACGTATACAACATTTTAAAGAACATTTTACTCTTAACAACAACCATAAAAATCCTTTCTCTCGTATCAAACATAAACTAAAAGAACTTGCCAAGGAATTTGTTTTTGTCCCGGCTGATAAAGCTGCTAATAATATCATTATAGTTTGACGTAAATTTTACATTTAGTTCTGCAAAAGGAAATCACGAATTCACCAACATTCCAACTGACTTCTTTTTCAGAAAACGATATCTGTAACAAACATAAACTATTAGCTACTTCTTTACAAGCAGAACCAAATACAATGAAAGTCCCAACTATGTACTGGCTTCCGAAGCTACACAAATCACCTTACAAATATAGATTTATTTCGTCTTCAAGTCATTGTTCCACTACTAAATTGTCTATTCTACTTACTAGTACACTTGGTACAATCAAAAACCTGATATTAAATTGTTCAAATAAAATAAGGCCTTTGAAAATAGTGGAATTAACTACTTTTGGAGTGTCAAAAACTCGTTGGAAGTACTTGATAAATTGCATGCATATATTGGTGATTTTGAATCTGTTCAAAGTTTTGATTTTTCTACCCTATATACCACTTTGCCTCATATTCTTATTAAGAAAAAATTCACACACCTAATTAAATGGGCATTTAAAAAGTCGGAATGCGAATACATATGTTCAAACTCTTTTAGGTCATTTTTTAGTAGCAACAAACAAAAGAGCTATGTCAATTGGACATGCTTTGATACTATATCTGCCCTTGAATATTTACTTGATAACATTTTTGTTCGCTTTGGAGATTCCGTATATCGTCAAGTTATCGGAATTCCAATGGGGTCTAACTGTGCACCACTTATTGCGGACCTGTTTTTGTATTGTTATGAGTTACAATTTATGACTAAAATCAGCAAAGACCCATCGAAACAACATCTGATACAAAAATTTAACAATACTTTTAGATATTTGGATGATATATTGGCTCTCAATAATGACAACTTCAGTATGTATACTAAAGAAATTTATCCTGTTGAACTTACTTTAAATAAAGCTAATACTAACAATGACCACTGTCCTTTCCTCGATCTTGATATCTATATCATTAACGGGAAGCTTAATACAAAAAATTATGATAAAAGAGATGATTTTTCATTTCCTATCGTTAATTATCCATTTTTAGATGGTGATGTTCCCTTGTCACCATCTTATGGTGTTTATATATCTCAACTTGTACGATTCGCTCGTGTATGTAACAACGTATTAGATTTTAGCGAGAGAAATTTATATATTACTGAAAAATTATTACACCAGGGTTTTCGATATCATAAACTAGTCAAAACATTTACTAAATTTTATCATCGGTATAAGGACATCATTCGTAAATATAACTCAACATGCAGACATCTTATACGTTCGGGTATTTCACATCCAATCTTTTATGGTAATATTCTTTACAAAGCACAAAAATGTCAGTATTCACCTCAAAAGCTAACAAAACCTTTAAACAGACTTATTAAGAAGGGATATAATTACGATACTGTTGTCAGGTCATTAAAAATTGCATATTTTGGCTTTAATTTTGATTCACTTATATGGTCTTTGCATCAGAATTAAACATATTTATTCTAAAACCAGTTGTTGGCATGACACGGGTTATGTTCTTCTCATATATTTTATGACGGTATAATACTAAACCCCTAACAGGAGGGATTGTGCCTGATATTCATATGATGAAGACATAATCTTTCAATCAGTTTAATTGAGGTCTGGAGCTGGCATGTCAGTAACTGCTAGTAGTCTGTTGTTATTTATGTATTATTGTCATTTTGTTTATTTTCTTTGGTTTCCTATTCTGACATCGGACTCGGACTTCTTTTAAACTGAGTTTTACTGTGCGTACTGTTGTACGTTTGTTTTTTCTACATTAGCTAGAGGTATAGGGGAGGGTTGAGATCTCAAAAAACATGTTTAACCCCGCCGCATTTTTGCGCCTGTCCCAAGTCAGGAGCCTCTGGCCTTTGTTAGTCTTGTATCATTTTTAATTTTAGTTTCTTGTGTATAATTTGGATTTTAGTATGACGTCCATTATCACTGAACTAGTATACATATTTGTTTAGGTGCCAGCTGAAGGACGCCTCCGGGTGCGGGAGTTTCTCGCTGCATTGAAGACCCATTGGAGGCCTTCGGCTGTTGTCTGCTCTATGGTCGGGTTGTTGTCTCTTTGACACATTCCCCATTTCCATTCTCAATTTTATTTATTATTCTGTTTTAGAAACTGAAGTCAAATAGTATCATGACCATCTTCCAACGGAGCTTGTCTATGGTATCCATGCCCAGCATCATTTTACATCAAATTTAAGGAAATTTGGAAGTCTTTTCGAATAATTCTCTAGAAAATATTTCAATGGGTTTCCAAATTTATATTGTAAATATACACACTGCATTTATTCATAAATAAATAAAAACATATATTGTACCCTTAAATCCAATCACAGCGCTCCTGTTGACTTCCTTCACCTGCCTTGGGTACACAAAAGGCCAACCTAAAGCCGGGAAAATGTAATACTACTTTTTTCCCTATAATAGACAACATTTAAAAGTTGAAATCTACCCTCGATTTGGACCGGTCCATTTTGGTAATATTTCACCAAACCGTTCGGGTGAGTTTTTAATAACTGCTGCACTATAGCACATTTATCATACTTTAAAACCAAGGATGTAGCTGAATTAACATATAGTCACAAATCATTGTTCATAGATTGATTAAGCCTTATGGTTTTCAATTATTTTGCACGGAAAAAACAATTTTATGGTAACGGTAACCATTCCGTGTAATAACAACAACGGGTACAAAAAATAGATATGACTGATTCGTCAGGATTTACCGATTACTTTAATATTAACATGTTATTTTCTTATATATTTTGGCTCATAGGAATAGGCGGCTAGAATATTTAGGTGTAAATAAACTCATCATAGATTAACCCGAATAACCTAGTTATAGATCTACCTTTATCAAAATAATTTTTTTTTTTAAAGTATTGACTAATCCTATACATTTGAAACAAATAATAAATGTTACAGATGATAAATTGACTTTCACACTAAAAATAATAATAACGTTTATGTACTACATATGATAAAGGGAAATCTTTGTGTATGTCATTGTGGGTGTTTTTATCTGATATCTCTAATAATAGTCAAGACATCATTGAATGAACGGCTCCTAGAATGGGTCATTTATAAAAAATACAATCAAATCGGATGATGAACGTGGATCTAAATATTTATGAATATCACATGTTATTTTTTTTTTTTAATATTTTACATGTACATGTAATTGTTAATTTTACGCATGACCTTGAATTATTATCGCCGTGAACTTCTTGACTGGGTTAAGTATTAGATACAGAACAAAGATAACAATAAAACAGGCTGGTAACAACCGTTGCCGTATAGTTTTTCTGCACGAGTAGTCAGGTCAATGTCCGAGGCGATAGTCGAGGACTTTGACCTGACTACCAGTGCAGAGAAAATTATACGGCTGGTTGTTACCACCCCGTTTCTTTTGTTACTTTGTTTTGTATCTTACTTCTACGACGTTTTGAATTAGAAAGACCAAAATAACAAACCCAAAGAAAGGAGTTTTTGAATAAAACATTAAAAAAAAAATAGAAGGAAGAAACAAATATAACTCAAAGATAGTGAGTTGTACAAGTTGTTATCTTTTTCTCAACGAAAATTGTACAAGTAATTACTTGTACAATTATATTTATATAAGAAATAACTTGTATGATGGCACCATACAAGTAATTACATGTACAAAGTTTTTGTACAAGTAATAACTTGTACAAAATAATAACATGTACACGACATATATACACCTTTATTCCAACAAAATATGTTTTGCCCCCTCAGTATAGTTCAATTTAGAATATTCAAAAGATTTCAACTTAACTACTGAGCTAACCGACGAGAGGTTTGTAGATAGAAATATTCATGGTTACAGTTACTCTTGTATATAGTCAGCAAATTCGTAGACACTTTAATTAGTTCAGCATTTTGGAACATAATTAGCTTTTTTTATAAATATTATTTTTATGAACACTTTTCATGTAAATTATTTTTACGAAAACAACTGTAATTGGGTCATAAGGTGTACGATAAAGTGCCTATGAACTGACTGAATGCACGAGTGACTCTATTCATAAAAAGTGTCCGTGTAACACCCGTTAATGTACTGTTTTTCTATAGCTCTGATGGGGAAAAGTCGTACAATTATTTTACGGTTCAGATCAAATCCTTAAAATTAAATCACTTAGATGATTTTATTCACTGTATAATAATCTGAAATTCCTTTGTTCTACCCAAAAAAATACTTAATTACATTTCGGTAGACTCTTCCTAAAGGGGCATTAGCTACGAGATATAAAAATATTAAAATATCATTGTTCAATCATTAATCAAAGTTAAATAGTGAAATAATAATTCGCTTTTAGCAGCCAGTTTGGTTCAATTTTGCGAAAATAAGCTAAGAAACATCGCTGATGAATTATTCACTTGCAAGTGAACAATTCGACCTCATTGAATCCGTATTCATGTGACCTTCTATTTGACCTCTTAGCTAGATATGAGTTACGCATAAAGTAGGCGTGTTCAGCTATTAAAGGAAAATAATGTCAAATTGAAAGTGAAACAAAGGTAAACCATTTGGGTGACTGATCCGTTCCACAAAAACTAATTCTCATGCAGGTAAAACCGATGATTAACATATTTGTTTAACCTAAAATATGAAATCAAACAGACTTAGGCAAATCTAAAATGTGTTCTTTAGCTATTTATATCTATATTTATGTTTATATCGGGTTATATGATCGTCGGCAGTCTTCGGAGGTCACCTCGATGGTTAATTAGATGGCGTCCACACTAAAATACACACGAAATGCTAATACATATTATCGAGTTCATGCATCGTTAATTGTTTATTTTAGACTTTTAAGAATTAAGATATACGTTTTAGTATGTTATAAATCAAATATGAGAACTTGAGTCAAATCGGTGAACAAGAATTTGACAGTTAATGCTCCTTTAATTGGAATGTTAGTAATGTATACTTGGTTGATATCTAAATAACATTAATACATGAAATTGACCGTTTGACAATTGTCAAAAAAATCCTCCCCCATCCAAGATGACGGCGTTATCAATAGGTCTGGGCGGAAAAGTAATATAGTCTAAAAGGGATGACTACACTGAGAGAATGACATTTTAGACAGAATTAAACGATTGGCATTATAAAAGAAAGCAAAACAAAAACACTACAAACGTTATGAGAATATTCATTTGTTTACAAAGTCCTCGACATCATTACATTTATATTACAAAATGTCCTATATTACTGAAGGTCTAGCAGCAATACATGGTTTCTTTTAATGATATACATTAAATTGAGCTGAAAAATGAAAATATGATTCGTTTAACTGTTTCAGTTGCTTAAATTTCGAGGTGAAAAAATCCTTGAAATAGTTTCTCATTTATAAAGAAAATATCTAAAAGCGGTGAACCATGCTCTTTAAATAACCATTTCACATTAAACGCATGACATATTTTTTTTAATATCGATATGATGCAGCAAGATAAATATTAAGGATCATCGACTTTAATTTGGTGTTGAAATCATTCAAAGTAAAATCAAAGTAGAAATAATTTGGTTATTGTGACTTACATCAACAATATATTAAGATGGAACACATACTTTGTTGTGACTTACATCAACAATATATTAACATTGAACACACACTTTGTTGCAGCCAAGACATTAGATCAGAGCTGTATTAACTCGGCTTATCGGAACAATTGTCGATCAATTTATGGGAAATATTAGTGCTATTTATTTTGTTACTAATAAATTATTGATAACTGTTTATATGTAATAGCTTACTTTTGGGCTTCATATAAAACTGAAGTCGCTTTACTAGTGTTCAATCAGTGACGTAAAATACCCCGTAATAACAATGTTAAAGCGATAGAAATGTTGCAGCAACATGAACAACACGACGGGTGCCACATGTGGAGCAGGATCTGCTTACCCTTTCGGAGCACTGAGATCACCCCCAGTTTTTGGTTGGGTTCGTGTTGCTCAGTCTTTAGTTTTCTATGTTGTGTTTTGTGTACTATTGTTTGTCTGTTGGTCTTTTTCTTTTTTAGCCATGGCGTTGTAAGTTTATTTTCGACTTATGAGTTTGAATGACCCTCTGGTTTCTTTCGCCTCACTTTTGCAGAACCATATATACATTATTACACATTATAAGTACAATATTTTCAGTACATTTAATACTTTTATACAAAAAATTACACTTTAAAAATATAATTAAGTTGTGAACATAATAAGTACAAATATTATGTTCAATCATCAAATCATAGTATAGATATCTACATGTAATATAAAGTTATTCAGATTAACAACATTGACATATTACTATTGATTCATTATTATTCGTTGGATACCAATTTTCGTGCATTTAATGGTGAACCACGAAATTTAATGTTCAACGAAAAACAAATTTTCTATAGACTTGTATGCAGACTTCGGCACAACCACGAAATTAAATATCCACGATTATGTAAGTTTTCCCTAATCCACGAAAATTGGTACCCACGAAAATAAATGAATCCACAGTAAGTGAATATTAAAAGCGTCCTAAAACAAGGGAAATAACGCTATACCAAAACTATGTGCTTAACATACTTCTTCGTTATTTCAACCTATGTAAACCAAATACATTATAACTCTAATAACACAATACTAATCCCTACCAACTTGTGGAGCTAGGTAGTTACTGCTGTGGCACAAATCATTTCAAACGTATATACTCGTAAATCATACAGTGAATTTCTATACAACAGCTTACATTCCAGCAGCGCCTGCATACGAAACATGTATCTCCCAATTGATAAGATATTCCAGGGCTTGTAATTCCTATCATGATTACCTTGATAGAGGGTTGCTGCTCACAAGGAAGCTATTAAACCAAGAGTTCCAAGCGGTGAAGTTGAAATCGTCCCTTCGTAAATTTTACAGACACCATCACGAGTTGGTTGACCGTTATGGAATATCTGTTTCACAGATGACAACGGATATGTTCCAATTTGTGGTAACAACAACCCCTGCCCCTTTTTTCCCGAATGTGACCTACCGAATTAGACTTATCACCGGGTCTGTACTAACATGAGCAACACGACGGGTGCCACATTTGAAGCAGGATCTGCTTACCCTTCCAGAGCACCCGATATGACCCCCAGTTTTGATGGGGTTCGTGTTGCTCAGTCTTTAGTTTTCTATGTTGTGTTTTGTGTACTGTTGTTTGTCTGTTTGTCTTTTTCTTTATAAGCCATGGTGTTGTCAATTTATTTACGACTTTTTGAATGCCCCTTTGGTATCTTTCGCCTCCCTTTTACACATTCTGTAATCCAAAATTACATAGTTTAATAACAAATTTTAATGAAACCGTATTCAAACATAGACATAATTATCAAACATACATTTTGAATAATGATCTTGTGTAATAAAGTTAAACATAACTCGGACAATAAAATATGTACAGAAGCATAGTTCTCTATGTAGTACAACTTTGTTCATGTTTTGTATTTATAATCAATCAATAACGTTATAGTGTATGGACTAATTCACACAAGTTATACACGGTAAAATTTACTCAAAGTCTTATCGAATACACATCAAAGTATGAATCGGAATGTGTGTGTTTTCTAAACTGATTTACATATAGCTCTAACGAATAACTATCAGTAATTTATGTGATAAAATAAATGTATAATAATGCATATAACTATGTAGCGATAATACTTTTCGGGATCACAGAGAAAAATAACCATTCATACCAAGAATTATTCACTATATGAAAATATATTAGAAATATTAATAAAGAAGTAATTACAGAAAACTTTCGTCAAAATGTCAAGTCTTTCATTTCATTTCAATACTATACAATGTATTCAATATAAATTATCAATCATTTCAAAGGCTACTAGGCATAAACATCTATTCATTTCGAATCCATTAGACCTTCTAACTCAAAGAAACTCAGCCTTAAACTTTAAACCAACCAATCATTTTACTAGAAATCCAAACTAACCATGAATATTCATCAATACACCAATAATGCATGGAATGTATGGAAACGTTTCAATGTAATCAAAATTTAGAAAAGACAATATGTTTTTTTATCTTTATTTCACATTTACATAATTTTACATCTTTATAAATAAAATTCAGGAGCATCAGCCATCAGTATTGTGATACATCTAAAAGAAAAAAAAAGTCAAATGTTAAGCACCTCTAGTGTGCTTGTGGGAGGTCGTGGGTTCGAATCACGGCCGGGATACAATTGGTATTTGCTGCTTGTACGCTAAGTACGCGGTATTAAGTTGTAAAACTTGTCGTCTCGGAGTCAGAATAATGTGTCCGAGTAGAGTGACATGTCTTCCTGTGGACTGTTACCGTGTGAACAAGACGTAAAAATCCGACTCAGCCTATCGGTCTAGTACAAAGCAGGGTAAGTAATCATATTACATTAACATGTTCTCGTCTGGAATATGCATCTAATAAGCCGCTGGGCGCATCATCATCATCATCATCATCATCATCATCATCATCATCATCGTCATCGTCATCGTCATCGTCATCGTCATCGTCATCGTCATCAATTGTTATTTTTCTTAATTATGAGTAATATCACAATGTCATTTTTAATGCATTACTTCCAATCTAATAAAATGTATATTTTGATTGCAATTTCATTTTGTTTTGTCCTAACAGAACATTGTCAACATACCAGCATTTCTACATTAACCAACAACCTAACTAAAAAGAAAGAGTCTAAAAACGACAATGAAATGCCTAGCATGTGTACTTGTTTTACCTGTTCTGATGTCTTTATTGGCCTATCGATATATACAACCGATGCCATCTGGAGCAAGGGAACCCAGAAATCAAATGATAACTTTGGGTTTGTTCCGGGTTTTGGATGACGTAGTATGTATTTATTAGTAATTGGATACCATCAATCCCTTAGATCATATTGTTTTTTCGCCTATTTTCATAAGAATTATTGTCACTATTTTTCACGGAACACAGCTTGTAGCATTGCAACCATTTTATTTGCTAAACTAGTGTAAACAGTACCTACATTTATAAAAAAAGAACAAAGAAAGAACCTACCTTTTTTAATTAAAAGGTACATGGAAATACTCGCAATTCATTTTTCCTGTTTACATAAAGACAAACAAAAAATTGAAAGCAATACTTTATAATTTTCATGCGTCTGAAGCGCTTTTCTGGATTTATCTTAATCAGGAACGCTCAAAGCCGAATATTTGTAAAGCCAATAATGTATAAAAGCCGATGAAAATTATTTTGATTTTTAGTATCTTTTTTTTAATTTCAGATATCAATACTTAGCTCATTTGGATACTCAAAAACAGAACTTTTTAAGAATGCATTTGAAAACAATCCACGTCCTGAGCCAGATCCGAGAGTTTTGGTAATTCTTAATCACACTTCCTAGGATCCAGAACTACATTGTACATCTCTTTTTAAGATTGTAGAAGAGTAAATTAGCGATTTAACAAATTATTTTGTAAATTCTGCATACAAATTTGAATGACAAAGTAGATTGGATTCCTTTCAAGAATCAATATTAAAATATTTTCATGCAAGTACAAATGTACCAAGACACTGATAACATTACTTATGATACCACTCCCCCTACACGATTTGTAACATACGGGCAATCCAAGCATATTTTACATTTTTATAGACATTGATGAGATTTGTATCATTTTTACTATCAGAGATAAACTCATAGCTCCAAAACCAATTGGGAAAGGTAAGGAGGAAGGAAAACTAAAATGAACACATCATAAGTCTATAAGATTTTGTGTTAACAAATGAATTAATCGTTACGATATTTACTATTTGCACGTTGCAAATCTTCCAATGAAAGAGTCTCTTGTCTAGATTTGGCTGTAGAAATTTCGGTTTGCAGTGCTCTTCAACATCGTAATTCGTTTAGCATTCCAACTGTTTTGATTCTAGTGTTATCTATGAGTATGAGGTAGTTCTATAAGATTCTAGTATTACCTATGAGTTTGAGGTGGTTCTGTAAAGTTGTAGTGTTACTTATGAGTTTGAGGTAGTTCTATAAGGTTCTAGTGTTACCTATGAGTTTGAGGTAGTTCTATAAGATTCTAGTGTTACCTATGAGTTTGAGGTAGTTCTATAAGATTCTAGTATTACCTATGAGTTTGAGGTAGTTCTGTAAAGTTGTAGTGTTACTTATGAGTTTGAGGTAGTTCTATAAGGTTCTAGTGTTACCTATGAGTTTGAGGTAGTTCTATAAGATTCTAGTGTTACCTATGAGTTTGAGGTAGTTCTATAAGATTCTAGTATTACCTATGAGTTTGAGGTAGTTCTGTAAAATTGTAGTGTTACTTATGAGTTTGAGGTAGTTCTATAAGGTTCTAGTGTTACCTATGAGTTTGAGGTAGTTCTATAAGATTCTAGTGTTACCTATGAGTTTGAGGTAGTTCTATAAGATTCTAGTGTTACCTATGAGTTTGAGGTAGTTCTATAAATTCTAGTATTACCTATGAGTTTGAGGTAGTTCTGTAAAGTTGTAGTGTTACTTATGAGTTTGAGGTTGTTCTATAAGGTTCTAGTGTTACCTATGAGTTTGAGGTAGTTCTATAAGATTCTAGTGTTACCTATGAGTTTGAGGTAGTTCTATAAGATTCTAGTATTACCTATGAGTTTGAGGTAGTTCTGTAAAGTTCTAGTGTTACTTATGAGTTTGAGGTAGTTCTATAAGATTCTAGTGTTACCTATGAGTTTGAGGTAGTTCTATAAGATTCCAGTGTTACCTATGAGTATGAGATAGTTCTATAAGATTCTAGTGTTACCTATGAGTTTGAGGTAGTTCTATAAGATTCTAGTGTTACCTATGAGTTTGAGGTAGTTCTATAAGATTCTAGTGTTACCTATGAGTATGAGGTAGTTCTATAAGCTTGTAGCATTGCAACCATTTTATTTGCTACACTAGTGCAAACAGTACCTACATTTATAAAAAAAAAGAAAGAAAGAAGCTATAAGATTCTAGTGTTACCTATGAGTATGAGGTAGTTCTATAAGGTTCTATTGTTACCTATGAGTTTGGTGTACTACTATGAAATATAACCTTGGTATCATTAATGCTTGTGTGTCCTCCTCCTTGCGCGAGGCTTGCTATAATATATGACTGTAGAATTGCATTACAAATGATGCATGCATAACAGGCAATCTTTGCCTGGTCTCACTGGTTTAGAGCTCGTATAATTTTACATGTTTATTTTCCATGATATCTGTATAAACCTGGACCTTCTGCTGGCACTAAACAGAAGATAAAATACTGATAAGAATTAAAATACTTTTGTCAGTAAACAAATATGCCACATACATTTTATAAACCGACATGATATCCTTTATCATACAGATTTATTAGATTCTTTAAAAGGTGAGTCAAATAAACGTTTGCCACTTAACAAGCCAAATGCCTACAGTCAAATAGATAATCATTTTTTTTTATATTGTAGTCTACGGATGAATATTTTGATGGAATAAAAGTGAGAATATACCGACCTTTAGCATCTAAAGATAAAGTTCTACCTGCTATGGTCTACTATCATGGCGGTGGATGGATTTATATGTCTGTCAGTAAGTGCATCTTCATTAGAAATATACAAGACCGTTAGTTTTGTATAATGTATTGCTATCTCGGAGCCTTGTATAGTAGCTTACTTTATACTCTATGAGCTTTTCTCATTCTTTAATGCTTTGATCTTTCGGTAAAAATGTGTTTCATTTGCAATCGCATCCCATCTCTTTTTCAAAGTGTGTTAACTACAGCCATTTATATTTGTATTAGATTTTTTCTTTATCGTTAATATCTTGTCGTTATATGTAAAAAGTATGTCTCAAGATTAACATGAAAGAACATCTGCGGAACTAACCCATATCAGCTAAATGACCTTTGATTATTTTAAGAAATAGGAGATAATACCATATATAGATTTATATTTACACAATTAATCTCAGTTTAATGTACACACAAATATACGGAATGAAATAAAAACAAAACAAAAGTGTACAAAAAAAGGAAAATAACAAAAATAGCGTACTCCAATGAAAATTCAAAACGGAAAGTCTCTTATCCAATGGCAAAATCAAAAGCTCAAACACATCAAATAAATGGAAAACAACTGTCATATTCCTGAATAGGTACAGGCATTTCCTTATGTAGAAAATGGTGGATAAAACCTGGTTTTATAGCTAGCTAAACCTCTCACTTGCATGACAGTCGCATAGAATTTCATTATATTGACAATACAAACATAATAGGTAAAAACGTCAAAAATTGGGGAACAGCAGTCAACATTGTGTTATAATCTTAATCACTATAAAAACAAATAACTATATACAAAGAAAAAAAATATGGCATATATGACGCTCTATAGACAAAGTACATAAGCAAAAATGAAGTCAAGAATACAAAAATGACCCTAGCACAATAACACAATGGTGGGATGTATAAATACCTAGCCACGCTAGAAGTATATACCAGAAATGGACTAAACATTAAAACGTTTAAACCCGCTGCATTTGTTTGCACCTGTCCTAAGTCAGGAATCTGATGTTCAGTAGTTGTCGTTTGTTGATGTGGTTCATAAGTGTTTCTCGTTTCTCGTTTTTTATATAGATTAGACCGTTGGTTTACTTTTATAAATTTTGACTTGGATGGAGAGTTGTCTCATTGGCACTCATACCATATCTTCTTATATCTATAAACAGTAAAGGTTAAAAATATACAAAGACAAATAAAAAAAGAACACTATAACGCGTAATTAAGATGATAAACAACGTAAGTACCTAGAATCTATACTTCAAGACCATCACGTATTATTTGTGACGTATAGCAGTCTACAGCCAAAATAGTTATTATCGGAGAAGTGTTTCGTTCTGTCTAAAACTCTAAAATAATTTTATCCAGAATAATTCAATTCATTATTTTTATTTCAGATAGCTACGATCCTTTAACAACAGCCATCTCACTAAAAGCAAATATTGTTGTCATTTCAGTTGAGTATGTCGTTTATAACAGTTAGATTTTTTTTAAAAGTGTTTTTATTTTACGCTGGTGAAGATTTGGTTACGTATCACTTCTGGCACTGAAGTTTCAAAAATACGCCAATTTATCAAAGCTATAGATTTTATCGGGCAATCATAGCCATTCAATTATGTAAACAAATACATTTTTTGTAAAAATACCGATAGTCGATGTTATAATCTGTCTTATGCGATCTTTCTTCAACAATAACTAAGCGAACACTACATTTAACTTCAACTACTAATGATTGTTATACTTATATCGTTGTCTAGCAATCTCATTGTTTATATTGTTGTCTGGTAATCTCATTGTTTAAACTGTTGTCTGACAATCTCATTGTTTATACTGTTGTCTGGTAATCCCATTGTTTATACTGTTGTCTGGGAATCTCATTGGTTACACTGTTGTCTGGGAATCTCATTGGTTACACTGTTGTCTGGTAATCCCATTGTTTATACTGTTGTCTGGGAATCTCATTGTTTATACTGTTGTCTGGTTATTTCATTGTTTATACTATTGTCTGGTTATCCCATTGTTTATACTGTTGTCTGGTAATCCCATTGTTTATATTGTTGTCTGGTTATTTCATTGTTTATACTGTTGTCTGGTAATCCCATTGGTTATACTGTTGTCTGGTAATCTCATTGGTTATACTGTTGTCTGGTAATCCCATTGTTTATATTGTTGTCTGGTTATTTCATTGTTTATACTGTTGTCTGGTTATTTCATTGTTTATACTGTTGTCTGGGAATCTCATTGTTTATACTGTTGTCTGGTAATCCCATTGTTTATACTGTTGTCTGGGAATCTCATTGTTTATACTGTTGTCTGGGAATCTCATTGTTTATACTGTTGTCTGGGAATCTCATTGTTTATACTGTTGTCTAGGAATCTCATTGTTTATACTGTTGTCTGGTAATCCCATTGGTTATACTGTTGTCTGGTAATCTCATTGGTTATACTGTTGTCTGGTAATCCCATTGTTTATATTGTTGTCTGGTTATTTCATTGTTTATACTGTTGTCTGGTTATTTCATTGTTTATACTGTTGTCTGGGAATCTCATTGTTTATACTGTTGTCTGGTAATCCCATTGTTTATACTGTTGTCTGGGAATCTCATTGTTTATACTGTTGTCTGGTAATCCCATTGTTTATACTGTTGTCTGGTAATCCCATTGTTTATACTGTTGTCTGGGAATCTCATTGTTTATACTGTTGTCTGGGAATCTCATTGTTTATACTGTTGTCTAGGAATCTCATTGTTTATACTGTTGTCTGGTAATCCCATTGTTTATATTGTTGTCTGGTTATTTCATTGTTTATACTGTTGTCTGGTAATCCCATTGGTTATACTGTTGTCTGGTAATCTCATTGGTTATACTGTTGTCTGGAAATCCCATTGTTTATATTGTTGTCTGGTTATTTCATTGTTTATACTGTTGTCTGGTTATTTCATTGTTTATACTGTTGTCTGGTAATCCCATTGGTTATACTGTTGTCTGGTAATCTCATTGGTTATACTGTTGTCTGGTAATCCCATTGGTTATACTGTTGTCTGGTAATCTCATTGGTTATACTGTTGTCTGGTAATCCCATTGTTTATATTGTTGTCTGGTTATTTCATTGTTTATACTGTTGTCTGACAATCTCATTGTTTATACTGTTGTCTGGTAATCTCATTGTTTATACTGGTGTCTGGTTATTTCATTGTTTATACTGTTGTCTGGTTATTTCATTGTTTATATTGTTGTCTGGTTATTTCATTGTTTGTACTGTTGTCTGGTAATCCCATTGTTTATACTGTTGTCTGGTAATCCCATTGTTTATACTGTTGTCTGGTAATCCCATTGTTTATACTGGTGTCTGGTTATTTCATTGTTTATACTGTTGTCTGGTTATTTCATTGTTTATACTGTTGTCTGGGAATCTCATTGTTTATACTGTTGTCTGGTAATCTCATTGTTTATACTGTTGTCTGGGAATCTCATTGTTTATACTGTTGTCTGGTTATTTCATTGTTTATACTGTTGTCTGGGAATCTCATTGTTTATACTGTTGTCTAATAATCTCATTGTTTATACTGCTGTCTGGTAATCTCATTGTTTATACTGTTGTCTAATAATCTCATTGTTTATATTGTTGTCTGACAATCTCATTGTTTATACTGTTGTCTGACAATCTCATTGTTTATACTGTTGTCTAGGAATCTCATTGTTTATACTGTTGTCTGACAATCTCATTGTTTATACTGTTGTCTGACAATCTCATTGTTTATACTGTTGTCTAATAATCTCATTGTTTATACTGTTGTCTTGGAATCTCATTGTTTATACTGTTGTCTAGGAATCTCATTGTTTATACTGTTGTCTGGGAATCTCATTATTAGTCCTCTACCGACGAAGTCGAAGGGGACTTTAGGTTTGCACTCCGTCCGTCTGTCTGTCTGTCTGTCTGTCCATCCGTCAGTCCACACTTTTCTTCGTGCTTGAAGATATTGATTTGATATTTGGTGTATTGTTTTATCACGACAAGTTACAGATCAAGTTCGAATTTTGTTCTGGTCTGATGATTTTGTGCAGAGTTATGGTCCTTGGACTTAGAAAATTCACTCAAATAATCAGTTTTCCGCACTTTTTTTCGTCATGCTTGAAGATATTGATTTGATAATTGGTATATAGTTTTATCATGACAAGTTACAGATCAAGTTTGAATTTTGTTCCGGTCTGATGATTTTGTACAGAGTTATGGTCCTTGGACTTAGAAAATTCACTTAAATAATCAGTTTTCCTCACTTTTTTTTGTCATGCTTGAAGATATTGACTTGATATTTGTTATTAAGTTTACACCATGACAAGTTATAGATCAAGTTAGCATTTTGTTCCAGTACAATGAATTTTTAACCGGTAGGGGACTATGTATTGCCTTGCAATACTCTCAGAATGCTTGTTTATACTGTTGTTTGGGAATTTCATTGTCTATATTGTTGTCTCGGAATCTCATTGTTTATACTGTTGTTTGGTAATCTCATTGGTTATGTTGTTATCTGGGAATCTCATTGGTTATACTGTTGTCTAGGAATCTCATGGTTTATAATGTCGTCTTAGAATCCCATTGTTTTGAATATCATTGTCTCTACTGTTGTCTGGGAATCTCATTTGTTGTACTGTTGGCAGGGAATCTCATTGGTTATACTGTTGTATAGGTATCTTATTGTTTATACTGTTGTCTGTCTATTTGTCTTTTTATCGTTTAGTTTCATTTTGTTTTTCAACGGCTGTTTGTTTTTTTTTTAATTTTGATCATTGAAACAATAATAAAAACTTTAAAATGACAAAATTGAAAAATGAAGCTGAACATGCATGAGAGTAGTGCATTTATTGAGATATATAAATACATTACGATAGGGCACAGGTATGGTACTGCTGAAAAATGTGAAGTTGGCAATTGCAAAGTTGCAATCATCACGCGTGTCATAGATTCTAGGTTAAAGTGGTCCGTCTGTGTCAAAATCAAAAGATTATTGATTTTTCAGAATCATTGTATTCACAACCGAATCCTCTTTAAATCAGGACTAATGCTTAAACAACTTTTCCTTTTAACGAAAACACGACAAGTATCATAATATGCTATCGGAATATTTTAGTTCAGCCCTGGTTTAAATGGGATTTATATATAAACTCATAATAGATATACGAACTGTGATGAAACATATCTTTATTTGTGTGTTTCTGTAGGTATAGACTTATGCCGGATTACATTTTTCCAAGTCAGTTTGAAGACTGTTTAAAAGCCACAGAATATGTATTCAGAAACGCTGAAAAATACCTAATTGATCCCTCTAGAATAAGCATAGGAGGTAAATATATTTAAAGAAAGTTTCATTACACTAACGCAAACTGCATTCATGTACACAATCCTGGGTTGTAACACGTTTAACTACTTCAGAATAGTACAACTATCGACAAACTGCAGGTTAGATGCATGACTGCATAATTTTATACAGTACGTGAGCATAATTAATTCTGAGCACAACTAAAACATATCCCCTTTAAGGTGTATCCAAATAAAAATAAACCATCACCAAGACACTAACCATGATATACTGTGTTACAACATAAACTTAAACCGACGAGGAAATGCAGCACCAGACAAATGAAAGATATATTGAATATTGCCTATTTGCTGAGTGGTTATAGGAGCTAGACAGGCAATGTTGTCGCATCAGACTACCGATGCTGCACTATATATAGCCTATTTAGCCGAGTGTTTTTATGAGCTAGGCAGGTGGTGTTGTTGCATCAGACTTACGAAAGCTGTACTGTATATATATTCTTTTTGGCCGACTGGTTTAAGGAGTTGGATAGACGACTGATTTTAATAGCTCTTAAACGACTGAACAATAATTTATTAAGAAATTTTCAATCTTTCATTAATTTTGCAGACTTAATCACTGCGGTAAATTTAGCACTGTTCAGACAATTTGGTTACAGTCAATTAAGATCTGCTCAGACTATGTTCAGCCTGCTCAGTAGTTTTTATTTGCCTGTACACAAAAACGTCATATTGAATTGTCTGAAAAGCTTCTGAACAGTACAGAATTGACTGAAAGCGAATTGTCTGAACAGTCCTGAAATTACCGCAGTAGAAAAGTCTGAAAATTAAATCAAAGACTTAACATGACTAAATAATGTATTGTTCAGACTTTTCAGATGTGTTAAGACCAACATGACCGTTTCAGTCTAAAATTCATTTACTAGTGGGTGCTGTCGTCTCTGACTTATGAAAGCTGTATTATATATAGCCTATATGGCCGAGAGGTTAAAGGAGCTAGACAGGGGATCTTGTTGCATCAGACTAGCAATGCTGTACTGTATATAATCATTTTGGTTGAGTGGTTTAGATCGTTTCGTTTGATATATATGCAAGAACAAACTATAAAAATTAGTTGAAAAGGGCTAAACTCATCAGATCGATACAAAGCAGAACAAACATCTAACAAAAGCACAAAAAAGACACAAAGTACAGGTCTGAGAGTACTTTAAGTTGTATTCACTTCTACTTCTTCTGCGTGATATTCTATTCGTCGTTAGTGGACACGATTGCCCAGATGTAACTTTCTTCGGTTTTGATGGATTTGATGACTTTGAACAGTTTATAACAAAATATGTTCATTTATGAAACACACTTTGATATAAACCATTTGTTTTATTTTAATATGAGTTTGTTGAATATAAATACGAAAACAATTGTTTGATTTTAATATGAGCAATTCGTTGAACTCTCATATTAACACTTTGTTAATTTTGATATGAACAACTTGTTGAATTTTAATATAAACAATTTGTTGAATTTAATATGATAATGGTTTGGTTTTTGTGACAGGTGATAGTGCTGGTGGAAATTTAGCAGCGGCCGTAGGTTTAAAGTTTTCTCAAGAACCAAAACCGAGTTTAGCAAAAATAAAGGTACAAGTATTATTGTATCCGGTTTTACAAGCGTTTGATTTTGATCTTCCATCCTACAGAGAGTATGCTGATGTATCTGGCGTGTCTTACTTAAACAGAGTGGATATGATTAACTATATCAATATGTATGGATTTCAAGATCAAGGAAACTTGGACGCTATTTCTAGAAACAAACACGTGTCAGAGAAAACACGACAAACATACAGAAGTTTAGTTGACCCGGGTTTACTTCCTGAAGATCTACAGAAAAGAGGTGGAGCTAACACAAAGCAATCAGAACCAAATACAACGTTATCGGACACAGTTCATGACAATGTAATTAATCCATATGCATGGCCTCTAATGGCTACAGACGATGCGTTACTTAAATTACCAAAGACATATGTGGTAGTAACAGAGTATGACCCGTTAAGAGATGAAGGACTCATATTTGCAGAACGACTAAGAAGACTTGTTCCGGAAAACATTGAACTAAGTTACTTAGCTGGATTAGAGCATGGTATTTTCAGTTTATATAATTACAAAAGTCAACCTTCGACTATGGACACATTAGTTGATTATCTTAATCGAAATCTGTAAAACAACAGTCTATAAACCTTAACAACATGTTACAAATATATAATTGACAGTCGTAATCTGTTAAACAACAGTCTATAAACCTTAACAATATGTAACAAATGTATGATTTACTAAATGTTAAACGATCATTGATTTTACTGTGGCAATTTCATCATTTTACACTTTTTTTTACTTTATAATAAATATTCAACAATCTTTGAATGATGTAGTTCTTTTCCTCACATATCTGCAATAACGAGTTTCTTATTTCATTTTGAAACTGAAACTGCTGTAAGACATTGTTAACAGTATTAAACGTTTATAACATACTTTTCACAAATTCGCTAGAAATTATTAAGAAACCAAGTTATATGGAGTTGGTGTTCTTTTTAGGAGTTCCTTTTGGTCATATAGCTTATCATGTTATTACATATATATTTTAAATCTTTGGTTTTCAGATTTTTAGTTTGAGAGTTCCTGGATATAAGTCTAGAAACGAACTTCGAACGCACCAAAGGAGTAAGTCCGATAGGGGCTAGTTTTGGCCTAAAATTTGAAGTACATCTGATGAAAGATTTCAGTTTTTTTTTCTACTTCAGTCGATTCAATTCGTTTATGTAAAATATTTGAACTGATTTGGTCATTAGAGACGCTCAAATTCAAGCTTAAAATGAAAAATCTATCAAATATGCCATAAAACGTCACTTTTCAGATGGTTTTTGTCTAAAATGGAATTGGCCGCATTCGTGTTCAGTCTCAACCTTTATATATGTTATGTATTATCATAAAATACAACATATATTTAAATTATAAGTATGACCACAAATGCGGCCACTTCCATTTTAGACAAAAAAACCGTCTTAAAATTAGCACAAATGCTACAATTGTGAAGATTTTAGTAATTTGGCATGAATTTATGATGCTATTACCTGATGCATGTGCATTGTATTGTCAAAAACATCCCATATTTATGGAACACAAGTATTATACTTTCCAATAAAGAGCTTAAAGTTTAGATTTCAACAAATTTGTAAAAATGCTATATTTTGGGGCCAAAAAGGGGTCTTACCGGGCCTACTCCTTTATGAAGTGTTCTTTTCGTATGATATAGGTTTGTATAATTTGAATATGCATGAATATAAGTTGTCACCCGATCATTCCTTGGAAATGTGTTTTTATTTGGAGATTGCTGATTTCTATTCCAGTTCTTGTCCATTAAAGTACTTTATACTGCAGTCCTTTTCCTAATGTTGCATTTTGTTCCCAGTGCAAAACAGCAAACTATTCACTAACTGATAGAACATTGCCAAAAATAGATTGAAAAAAAAAATTATCATTAACCTATGAATACTTTAAAAGAATATATATTCAAATTTATGTAATACCAATTGCATCAATAACACGACGGGTGCCACATGTGGAGCAGGATCTGTGTATCCTTCCGGGGCACTTGAGATCACCCGCGGTTTTTGTTGGGGTTCGTGTTGCTCTGCTTTGGTTTTCTGTGTTGGGTTTTGTGTACTGTTGTTTGTCTGTTGGTCTTTTTATTTTTTAGCCATTGCGTTGTCGGTTTCTTTTCGACTGATGAATTCTAATGTCTTTTTGGTATCTTTCGCCTCTCTTTTACAATACTGGTAATCGTAACAAAAATCATCACCACTATTGAAACGTTCAATAATCGGTTTTTCCACAAGTCAAAATTTTTGTGTCTCTTCGTTCCTTTGGAAAAATTAGCTGTAACTAATAATAATGTATTTAAAATCAGCAATAACACTGACAAAGCTATAAAAACTACCACAGCTCGCTTGAAATGATCTGTGTCTCTTTCTGTTATTACCGCTTTCAGTTGTGTTAAATTTGCTGTCAGTATGGTAGCACTTAAAAGACATAAAACATTTAATGCTTTTATATCTAGCTTTTCTTTAGGGGGTTCCTCCTGTAAACGATAAATATGGACACTTCAAAACTATACAGAGAATGACACCATTAAAGTAGATGTAATGAATTTACGAGGATTCTACTGACAATTTAAGCAATGTTCATTTGTTGCATTAATTAACAAAAGTTCCAATGGGGTTCCTCCGCCTCGCCTGTAAATGCATCTCTCGGTTCCAATGTGGATCCTCCGCCTGCAAATGCATCTCTTGGTTGCAATGGGGTTCCAACCCCTGCAAATTGTGCATTATCATACCATTTAAGACCGGATTCTGTTTCCTCCTATTTCATTCCTCGGGATCATATAACTTGAGATCCGTCATTCACCGGGATTATAGAACTTGAGATCCTGAAGTTGATTTATCACACTGGTTTCACCGTTTAGTATTCTTTTCTGTTTTACAGATGTGGATATGATATGATATCATGACTTTAAAATAGACAATATTTAAAAGTTGAAATCTACCCTCGATTGGACCGGTCCATTTTGGTAATAGTTCACCAAACCGTTCGGGTGAGTTTTTAATAACTGCTGCACTATAGCACGTTTATGATACTTAAACACACAGGGTGTAACTGAATTAACGTATATCACAAATTATTGTTCATAAATTGCCTTATGGTTTTCAATTTTTTGACTACATGGATAACCTGAAAGTTTTTCAATTTTATGGTATCGGTAACCATTCCGTGTAATAGCAACAACGGGTACAAAAATAGATATGACTGATTCGTCCGGATCTACCAATTACTTTAATATTAAAATGTCTTTTTCTTGTTATTTCTGTTTGCTCATAGAAATTAGTAATCCGGGTTACGTTTACGTACTTCATATGATAAAGGAAAATCTTTGTGTATGTCATTGTGTATTGATTTATCTGATAAATCTATTAAGGTT